GTGGAGACAGAGCATTCTGAAGTATAATCTGTCAACTTTTCGAGCAGAATCCGCCGGTCCCTATTCCTGACTAATGCATGGCCGACTAGAATGTGATACTACACGACTGTAGTACATGAAGTAGCAAGAGTACATAAATAACGTTTATGATTGTACTCTTGCTACTAATAATACTTCAGTAGGTTTTTCATTTGACCCGACTAGACCACACGACGCTTGCAGACGACAGCACGAACAGTTCACCAGCCACACTCCAAGAAACCTGCGGCAAGTAGTGTTACTCAAGACAAAGGCTTGTTTCGTTCTTTAAAGATACGAGGAACTCATGCATCATCGTCTCACTCCACGAAACCTGCTGCCAATACTGTTACTCCTGACAAAGGCTTGTTTCGTTCCATTAAGATACGAAACAAAAATCAGACGATGAAGAGTTCCATTAATACAAAAGAGAAAGACCAAGGAACTACAAGTTACGCTATACTGTCCACTAACACCACCAGTTACTAAACAATCAGCTCATGCGATAACATTGCACGACACCGACCGACGGTACTGACGTTCTACAACTAACTGGCTAACAGCTCTAGCACATCTTGGATGCGCACTCCAACAGCCTTCCAACTTGGAAGGTTCTAAGTTATAGAAATAACATAAGGAGGGGAAGGTGAGCGCAACCAATATAAGCACGAGCTGAAAATCTCAGCTGTGAAGGACGTTGGCGGATGTTCATGCATGTCGATGACTATACTGGCAAGACCATTGGACAAGTATAGCGTAACTTGTAGTTCCTTGGTCTTTCTCTTTTGTATAAATTAAACCTTGGCTCTCCATCTGAATGAAGAGTTCCCCGTATCTGTTTGGAATCAGACATGCAAAGGAAAGTTGCAGGGATGCACTAAGAGTAAGTACACAAACCAGGACATAATTACCCTGGATGATGATGCTGGTGCTTCAGCTCTAGCGCTAGCGCTTGATGTTGAAGAGATGACCTACAGGATTTACCTGGCCCTGATCTATGCATAGCTAGCCCAGGGCAAGCCCCGTGCATGCAACCAGGACTAACCCTCCCTAGCAGCCCAGGTGAACCTCCCCATGGAACCTGAGACCAATCATTGCATACACAAGCCGAGGGTGTCAGCCCATGCAAGAGGGAAACAATGTTACAAGTATGCCATTGTGTAGTACAATACAGCGGGTACAAAACAGAACGACATAATTACAAAAGACTTATAATAATTATTACCAAAATCTTTATGGAACGAAACAAGCCGTGTCAGGAGTAACACTACTTGCTTCCGTGGAATCCGGCAGAATACGAGCAGAATGTGGCTGTCGTCTGCAAGCATCGTGTGGTCTAGTCGGGTCAAATGAAAACCTCTTACTACTATTTGACTGACCTATTGAAGATGGCAAAACAGAATTATAACTTCTCCTGGACCAGGAAACCTGCCATTGATCAGAAGAAGGATGTGAACTGCTTAGGCCTTGACGGATTATGCTAGCATAATTTTTCGCATAATTCCTACCAAAATCGAATAATCGCATAAGTCGAGGCGAATTGCATACGAATCGCATAAAATTGGAATAATCCGCCTGTTCGCATCAAATTCCATACAGTTGTACATGTTCTACAAGACAGTAGATGCACCAGGAAGTCGTAGGTGTACGACTCCCTTGATAACATGTCCAGTCCACTACAATCAGTGACGGTCGTAGCTAGGTCGGACGGTGCGTTGACCCCGTTGAACTTCTGCTACTACAGTACAACGCCCTCTCCAAAAAAATTCTTCGGCTATTTTGCACAGAACCATCATATAATACTCATAAAAAGGACACACTTCAGGCTCATTACAAACATCTTGAAAGTTTTTGTCTTCACAAGTATACTTTCAAGCCTTCTCATCAGGTGAAATACAGGCAAGAGAAAAGGAACAGGAACAGTGGATTAAATACAGTAAGAAGGTGGTAAAACAGCGCAAAAAGAAAGAAAGAAAGAAAGAAGATAGCTAAAGTAAACAGCGAAAATTGCAATAATGACACAAAGGTGCAAATGCGAGAAAACTCAATAAGCGCGACATGTAGTGCGACAACAAGAGACAACCACTGGACATACATGTAACTAACGAGGTTTTGACGACCTACCTAACAGCCTAAGTGTGAATTTGGCACTACATGTCGCGCTTATTGAGTTTTCTCGCATTTGCACCTTTGTGTCATTATTGCAATTTTCGCTGTTTACTTTAGCTATCTTCTTTCTTTCTTTCTTTCTTTTTGCGCTGTTTTACCACCTTCTTACTGTATTTAATCCACTGTTCCTGTTCCTTTTCTCTTGCCTGTATTTCACCTGATGAGAAGGCTTGAAAGTATACTTGTGAAGACAAAAACTTTCAAGATGTTTGTAATGAGCCTGAAGTGTGTCCTTTTTATGAGTATTATCGCATTTTTGTCTCAGAGGAAACTGTTAACCATCATATACATAATACATTAGCAGCATATGTGAGCATAATGCGGCATAATATGATAACTTTTAGCATAAAAATAGCATAATTCTGCAATTTTTTCAGCAATGCGAAAAGCATAATTTCACGAAAATATTAGCATAATCCGTCAAGGCCTAGAACTGCTGCTCGGAACATAGCGTTAGACGCCATCCATGCAGTGATGATCTGAATGGATACGTCGCTTCAGCAGCCCACAGTTCTCGACTACATGTACAGGTATGTCGCAACCCAGCAGCCCTAGCCGTCCTTTCACCTACCGTCAGCTGAATTTTCAATTTTCGAGGTTCGTGAAGAATTTGTCTTGTGTAGTTAGCAATCTTCAGATGTGACGTTAGACGTCCGTGATGATTTGTTGGCTTTCACTTGGCGTCTACCTTTCACCTGTCTACGTCATTGTCACCACCGCAGTACTCTTTGTGACGAGTAAACTAGCGCAACCTATTCGTGTGTACCTCTAGCTCTCCTTCTCATTGTGATTTTAAAACCTAGCACTTGTGATAGGTAGAGAGTTGTGCGAAACAGACGTTGAGAGCCAGTAGCTATTCAAACCGCTGTCACCTCCAACAACTAGTCGCACGTCCTACTCTTAGAAGTACATGTAGCGACTTCGGCGGTAATACTAGTCATGAAGTTGGTTGTTCCAACAAGGAACACGCGCTTCTTACCGAACTTGACACTTGACTGACGCACAATTGCCATCCGGAGCACACCAAGAGCAACTAGCGCCTTCCATTCGGCATAATATTTGCAGGAAAGCACCGCTCCCTGCTCACAGTTGTTTTGGAAACGGAGCGTCTCTGTAAGTTTGAATCCCGATTCCCTGGTGATGGTTTGACTCAACTGATGATGAGGGGTGAATTCCCCCCAAGCACTGTGTATTGAGCAGGGAGCGGCGCTTTCTGCCAGGTTTGCCGAGTGGAAGGTGCGACGTGCTCCTTGTGTGCTCCGTATGGCAATCGTGAGTCAGTCAAGTGTCAAGTCAATTCTGCAGGAAGCGTGTGTTCCTTGTTGGAACAACCAACTGAACTCCATCACTAATACAGCTGAAGTCGCTACTTCTTAGTTCGTATTGGTGTCCCTCACGCGGACGTGCGACTAGTTGTTGGAGCAGACAGCGTTCTGAATAGCTACTGTCTCGTCAACGTCTGCTTAGCACAACTCCATGAGCGCGCGACCCTGACTCGCGTTGCTACCTTGGGCCCCACGAGGTGTTTGTCGCGCTGGAAACGGAGCGTAATTTTAACTCCGCCATCGACAGTCATCATGGTCATGATAACAGAGAATATTTGTTTCATTCTTCACCTGTAGTCTTCCCTGGGCCCCATCGACGTTCCTGTTGTTCTCTCTTCCGTTTTGTCAGTGGGAATAGCAGGGCATGTTTTCGAAACCATTGCTGGTGTGAGCAAGAAGTTGACTTCACAGCTCAATTTCTCGAGATCCCAATATTGTTGCTTGACGAAAAAATGACAAGGAGACCAGAGCCAAGCTTCTCGATGGCTGTGTAACAACAGGGACCAAAACCCTACCGAAAGCGCGTTTTGGAGAGAGAGACTGAAGTGGGTGCACAGACTCTGGTAAGTGGATCCACTTTCAAGTGGCGAAATATATTGCTGACGCTAAAAACATTGCAGTCTGGAGTGAGTGGTAAATCGTCGGTGAGCTACTGCTTAGTGACCTGGTGACTTGGGCTTTTTACGAAAGCCGTTAGATACCTGTCAGCTGCCAACGTCGCCAGCAGTAAGTCATCACCTGCGTCCACTTGAATGTAATGTGAATACTATGAAGCACTGAAAATTGAGTACTGGGGTATGTTGCTTTGCAGTACTATTCTCTATTGTCAGAGTGTGAAGTATTTTGTAAATGTCGTGTTGTGTCTCTTTTAAAAGGTAGCAGCCTACCCATAAATTTCATAATATTTATGGCATTCAATTGACCGTAACTTTGGTGTCTCTCAATGGATTTGAGTGAAAGTTTCACCACACAGTCCTGCCACTACACTATGCTGGCCCTCTGGACATGATCAAAAAGTTCTTGCGCCTCACTGACAGGCTTTCCAGGCCGGAAAAACTCAAAATTCCGGCATAGTGCCACGGTATGCGAGCCACCCAGGCCAGGAGCCAAAAATATGCATTTACATTTTTTCACATGTTCGTGCCCATTCTGTCCCCCCCCCCCCTTCTTGCTCGAGATCCAAACCTAAAACAAGTCCAGAAGCAACCATGGGTGGTGGGATAGGGCCCCTCAACGTGGCCCTGGAATCTGTCACAACGGCACGAGTGGGCGTTTTCTCAGACTCCCACAGACGCAAGTCTATAATTATTTGAATTTTTTTAGGTTTAGCACGTGCTACGAGGTCGTACCTTTGATACAACATCCAGTACTGGGACGTCACCGAATTCCCCGAAACACAAACACTGTGTGTTGAGCAGGGAGGCGGTGATTTCTTGCAAGCCGCCCAGTAGAGGGTGCTCCGGGTGGCAGTCGTGAGTCAGTCAAGTGTCAAGTTCGGCAGGACGCGTGTGTTCCTCGTTGGAACAACCAACTTCATCATTGCCAAAGTCGCAACTAACTTTTTAAAAGTAAGCGATAGACGGTCAGTGTAACAACACATTGACGACAAAATGATCATGATAATTGTGGCACATAATTTTAGAAGGTACTTCGTAGTAGAGTGCAACATACTGAAAGGTGGAAAGTGCAAAGCCACCGTGCATTGCTAGGTATAACATGTGAGCGAGGTGATGCGTTCTTTTTTGAATGCTCTGGGGGAAAGTTGAGTAAAAGAGTAGAAAATAAGAGTACATTAAAAAAATGTATACAGCACTATCTAAAGGCAATCGACGCAATCAGCTTTGGACTAGCTGTCAAAAACTTGGAACCCGTGCACACATACATGTACAGTCATGTAGATGGTCAATAGCAATTCCATGCATCAATAAAAGAATGTCTGAAGTCAGTGAAGAAATGATGTGATAGGGAGGTCGTGCAAAAAGCCTAGTGTTAAAAATAGATCTTGATGACGTCATCATGATAATTTATTTACCATGATGATGCGTTCTACAGAATGCTATGAATACATTTTTAAATTAGAAACACATTATTCAATGGCAAAGTAGTAGTCGAATTGCAGAAAGTACACGTATCCGTTGAGCATGCATGCACGAAAAAGAGCTGAATAAATGCCAAGAGGAGAAACAAGCACACATGGCAAGATGTCTGTAGGTCTTGCGCGTGGCTGTGCTTATTGCCGAGATGTGTGAGCACAGCTCAGTTTGTGTTGAGTCATGTGGTGATTACTTGACGTCGCAGAGGAGTGCAACACCGCGCAGTGTCCAGTGGTCGGGACTCTGCGACGTCTTGAGCTGCAGCGTTGTGATGAAGGTCAGGTCGGTACGGTTCGGCTTCTTGTACAGCGGACAGTGGTAGAAACGCGGGTCCTTACCGGCCGTGCTGTTGATGGCGAAGATGTGGACGACTGGTAATGACGTGAACAGTACCTAAACAAGTGTGTGTGTGTGTGTGTGTGTGTGTGTGTTTCGTATGTATACGAGAGCGAAAAGGAGAGAATGACACTCGATTGGACTATGATGGTGTCCAATGCCTTGAATTGCTCATTCGATATCATAATGATGTGTACAAAAAATTCCAAATTGAAAGTCTTATCGCTAAAAAGCTGAGGCCTAAAGCTCACAATAATTATAATTATTGCATTCTGTGGAGGAAAGGGGTGTGCGTGTATGTATGTGAATATGTGCACGGGTGCGTGTGTATGATTATGTTGTTGTCGTTGTGGTTGGTGATGGGGGGCAGATACCTGGGTTGGGGGATGTACATGATGGGTGGATTATGACTTCATGTCGTCCTCAGTAGCAGAATTCAGTCCAAGTTTGATGGATCTAGCACTTTTTAACTGCGGTTTGAGAGTGTGCTGAAGGCTCAAATTCAACTTTCGTGCAGCGGGTTATACCGGTATGTTTTGCTTTTCAACTTCACCACCCCAGTGTGTATGGATGATATTCACATCATCAGATCCAGTGCAAACGATGCAAAAGAGCCGATCGGGTAAGAATTCACCCGTATACCTCCAAACGTCAGGCGAAATAGCACGTCATAGTACATTTGAGATAAGCGGGAAGAAGATGACGACGTCCACTAATTTAGTATCTGTGCACACGAATCTGCTGTGTGTGTGTGTGACTCTGTGTGTCAGCTATGATATCATGTTCTGTGGTTCCATGCCTAGCATGTAGGTCTGAACCATCCTGCAAAGTTTGAATGATGTAGGTTGAGCGATCACTCCGCGAAACATACTTTTTGAAATTCTCTTCATAGTACCATTGAAATTTCGAATTCCTTCAAAAAAGGTGCTGAGAGGGGTGGCTTGCAACCTCGATATGGCTTGTTCCAGGCATGCTTTGGAGTCTTCTGTTGAAGTAGTGGCGGGGATCTGCCCTGCAACTGCTACAACAAAAAATGATTCGATCTGAGAAAGGGTAAGACCGCGAATCTCGGTTGAATATTGAGTATTTCAAGCCTTTTCACGACGAAGATGGAGTTCTTTTTGGAGATGGACGTCGCGGCAAAGGACATGGTGTCCGACTTCTGGCGCCTGGTGAAGCCAAGGATCATTTGTCCAGTCAGGTCGGCAGCCTAACCGTCGGTAAGCTTGTGTTTGGATCCCGTTCTGCTCGATGTGGTAGATCACAAACAATTTGATATCGCACAAATGGATCTCAGCATCGTGCGTACGGTATTTTATATTCAGAAAATCCCAAAGTGTCTCTGTGTGGCCGTCCTATGCCACGAGAAACTCCAATCAGGCTCCTATGTCCTCTGCCTTCATGATTGAATGTCCACTTCATTTGAACAACGAACACAACAATCGAGGACGGCTTTGCAATGAAAAATACAGCTATACTGGAGCTGAAAAAAGAAGAAAAAAATGTGCTCAGGATGAGACTCGAGTACACGCATACTCTCCCAGCAGGTGAAACGCAAATTTTTGTGAAAAATGCGTGTCGCCGACTGACCAGTAATTTCGCCTGACGAAGCGCTTTTGATACATTCATGATTACTGTTGTCACAAAGCGGAGTCGCCCTTGACTTTCAAAAGTGCTCGACTCACGAAGAGAAGCATGTGACACAAGTTTGCGATGGCGGGAAATGATTCGTTTGGTTGTTGCTCAGAGTTTCAGAGTGATTTCCCAACATACTCTTAAGGTGCTCAAGATGAATGAATGTGTTAAGTTCCTGGCGAAATGAATCGGGGATATGATTAGTGCGGAGGGATTCGGGGACCGCGTTGATTCGGTCGGCACCAGTGAAAGAAGTAGATTTGTATGCAGCTTGACTTTGCACAACGCGTAAAGAAAGGGAATTATTGACTTGACCTAACACTCTAATGGGCAGTACTTACCTTAGGCGTCTGCTCAATGAGTTTGCCCTGTCGGCGATCCCACGCCGAGCCATCCAGGAACAAACCGTACACGTATACACCCTCTGCTGGCGGCTCTTTGACATCGTCCTTGAACATCTTGGTGACTTCGTTACTGAGTACAACGGTGTCCAGAGCCCAGCCTTTGTGCGCACGGGTTACTTCCTGTGAATGTGAATGTGAATGTGAATGTGAATGTGAATGTGAATGTGAATGTGCCACAACACACAGAGCAAGCAGTACATGTACAGGAAAACTACATATTGTACTGCACTCATTTATTTATTTATTTATTTCACCTTCCCGTGGCCAGGGAATATAGGCCAATATGGAGGGAGGGGGCGATAGCCAGCCATGGCAGTAAGCAAAAACAATGCAAAAAATATTACAAATTGCATGACACACACTGGCACCATAAAAATAAAAGGGATAAAAAAGTAATGGATAAAATCACATGATAATTATGATGGGCTAAAATCATTATGATGTAAGGCTGATATCAGATGCTGTGTTTCCTGGCATCAGATGATGGCTTTGCTGAAATAACATGATTTAATTGCTGCCATCATGCGATGGAATTGCTGGCATCACATTACGTGGTTGCTGGCATCACATGACCTGTTTACTGACATTACATGATGCTGCCATAAAGGGTCAAAGTGGATTATTCCCCGTGGAGGCGGCCATTGGGAATCGTGAATTTATTAGAAGATAGAGACATGGATTACGGAGCCGTGGCAAAACGAATTCACATCCGACTTTGCACTCCAATTAGAGTTGAACTCGATAACGAAATTTGAATTTGGAGACGATTTGCGAACAGAATACGCGCTTGCACAACGTTAACAGATCGCGAATGCGTGCAGACAGTACAACGTACTGAGCAATATTCAGCGTGTACAATGTTACTACCCTGACACCAGCTGTCTGACTGCTTTTCGGAGGGGAAAGCGCGATAGCTCATTCCGGCCAGCGAAGCGAAACATGTACAGGAACAGGAAATGTGAAATTGGTGATGCTAAACCTGCTCATCCACTGGCATGTAGGCCACCAACACCATGGCTGCACTCCAACAGTACTTCCTCCTGTCTCATTTTCCCCAAGACTTTTGTTGCATAGAGATATTATGCTCATCATTCTCTCCCTTATCACAAGACAAAATATCCGTTTGGTTTTGAGAATTAAAAAAAAACAAAAAGACAACAGTACTTACCTGTCTCATGGCTGTGAGGAATCCCTGTGGGTTGAAGAAGCCGGTCATCCAGAAGTAGTTGGGACGGCCGTCGAAGCACCAGCTTCGGAACTGTGTATCCCTCTCAAGCAGCTCCGTGAACCAGAAACCAAGCGTTGCTGACGCCCACGAGATCTAAAAGAAACGGGAACGGCAACAGCAAAGTGCACCATAACGATGTCAAATACCACCACGGTAGGAAAAAATGTCTTAAAATTTTAAAATCTCATACTTGCAGGACTGTACACACCAAAAATTCTCTCTCTCTCTCTCTCTCTCTCTCTCTCTCTCTATCTCTCTTTCTATCTCTCTCTCTATCTCTCTCTCTCTCTCTCTCTCTCTCTCTCTCTCCATCTCTCTCTCTCTCTCTCTCTCTCTCTCTATCTATCTCCCTCTCTCTCTCTCCCTCTGTCTCTCTGTCTCTGTCTGTCTGTCTGTCTCTCTTTCTCTGTCTCTCACGCACACAAACACACACACAGACATACACACACAAGAAAAGAACAACATTCCCTGTTGGCAATGGGAACTCATGCTCATTCACGGAGACACACTACCACAGACAACTCTCACTCAAGTGATGGTCAGGCCTACAAGGTCTAAAGCATGGGGTGCAGCACATGTGGTTACATGATAAACACAAGCTGTGCGTATATACCTTCTTCCATGCTGTCGGCACACGGGCATCGTACATATTGTCCAATGCATCACGCAGCATCTAAACACGCACGCACACAAACACGCATGCACAAAAACACACAGACACACAAAACACACAAATGCACCCACAAACACGCACAAACAAACACACACACATGCACGCGCATGTGTGAAACAGGCACACAACATCTAATGTCATGGCAAATAACCACACACTCAAGCATGAAAACTGGTCTTTCCAGTGTACATGTACTTTAAATCTGTTCTATTCTTCCTGGCATTTCCTTGTGCCTAAACGCGGAACTGCCGGGTCAGTAACATTCACCAATGGATATAGAAACACTGGGCGCAGATTGAGTATTTCGGTCCGGCTTTTGTAGTAGCTGAGCACTCTCATATGGGGTAGTGCCTTTGCTGTTTGCATTATGCAGAGCTCACTCACTTGCCAGTTTGAGCACCCTGGCAAGGTACGTTCGGGCCCGGTTTAAATCTGGATTTGGAAAATTTATTTTTCATTGCTATCAGGTTCGGCCTCATTTTCTTTATGCTGTGCTGATGAGTCCGCATAGGACGAAACACTGGGTTCAAGAGCAAAGCCTATGTGTGTTATAGTGCTAGAGGTATGTGCATTTGTCATTCTTCCATGTTTCATGCGAGAACACGTCACTGAATAGATGGACTTCAAGGGTTGATGACGTGGTGTAATGGCGTGCATCATGCCTGGGCTTGTTCCTGAGGCACAGACCAGGCTTCCATGCATGCTGACAGGAACATGAATGTGTGTGTGTGTGTGTGTGTGTGTGTGTGTGTGTGTGTGTGTATATGTGTGCATGTGTGCCTAAGGGTATGTACGTGTATGTGCACGTGCGCATGTGAACGGCAATCATGAATAAGGAGAGCACCGTGACAACTCACCTCGCTCATAATGATTGTACCATCAATGGCCAGCTTGAGATCCACCAAGGTGCTGCGCACGTTGATAATGACACGCTGCATGCGATCGATCTCCTGCCGCAGGAAGATGTTCATCGGCGAGAGATGTCCCATGCGCTGCAGGCAGGCCTTGACCTCGTGGGGCAGGTAGTCCGGCGGCAGCTTGCTGAGCATGTCGTCGGCAAGTCGCTGCACAACGCTCTCACGCGTCTCCCCACCACCGCCACCGGAGTCTTTCGGCTGAATACTCACCATTGTACCCATGCAATTGGTTGCAACGTTTGTCTGGTAACTATAGCAACATTCAAAACAACACAGTAAATGATAACTATAGCAACATTCAAAACAACAAAGTAGACGGTAGCTATAGCAACATTCAAACCAACACAATGAATGGTAACTACGGAACATTTAAACGAGTACAATAGATGGTACTATAGCAACATTGTAATCAACACAATAACGGAAACTATAGCAACGTTCAAACAAATACAATGGGCACGATAGTGATTGTGTAAGTTTGTGGCTCGCTATCGATGAAGCAGTACATTAGACTTACTAGTGCACAAACCACTCTTCAGAGTGAACAGCGTCATGTGACCAATGTCATGTGATGATCAATGTCATGTGATGATCTTGTGATCAATGTCATGTGATCAATGTCATGTGATCAGTGTCATGCTACCTATGCACTGCGAACAATTTCCTTTGACCAATGCCATGCAAACAATATCATGTGAGCGAGGAATTAGCCTAGCAGAAAGGGAGACCTACGTGATGTTGGCATTGGGATGAAGGCCAAATGCTTCGGGGGTGTCAAGCAGCGGTAGTTCCTCAACATGCTCCATGACATTGGCGACTGTTTTACACGTAGCAGCGGTTGGAATAGTGTAGCCCTTGTAGAACTTAAATGTTGGTGCAAACATGCCATCACTGAACCAGACCTGCAATGCGTGCACGGGCAGCATTACGGAGAACATACAGCAACAACAACAACAACAACAAAAACAACAACAACAACAACAACAACAACAACAACAACAACAACAACAACAACAACAACAACAACAACAACAACAACAACAACAACAACAACAACAACAACAACAACAACAACAACAACAACAACAGTAGCAGCAGCAGCAACAGCAGCAGCAACAACAGCAGCAGCAGGAACAGCGGCAGTGGCGGCGGCAGCAACCAAGTGAAACAAAACAGAACCATTAATTAGTGACATGTAGGATGCCTGTCCTCCAATAATCTGCTGGATGCACTTCATCTAATTGCCGGGTTGCAAGTGATGGAAGCTGAAAAGTACCTTATACTATACCGTTGAGCAATGGAATGCAAAACGAACATCGACAGCAAATAGGCATTGAGTTTGTCAGGTCACAAGTGTATACGAGTGCGTACACAGACCATCTATATAAGCCTGCAACGATTCAAGTATATCTGTGGCCCAATGCCTATTCAGACCCCCCTCCCTTCCTCAGCATTCTGAAAGGAAATGCTTCAGCAATCTAATCTCAAAGTTAATGTTTCATTGTGGATAAGAAAGAGACCCTCTTTATTTACCTTTGCAAATGTGTTCAGGAGAATTTTGTCGAAATCGTCCGTAACACGACCGCCGTACTGCACTTCACCGATCATGTAGCGTACCGTTGTCCAGGAGATGCCCTGTACGTGTGCGAGTGCGTGAATAGAGTGAGCAGGCATGCATATCGGATTACAATAGCACTTAAAAAATCAACAGAGGTTAAAATAACTTATGGCCACAATCACAGTGCATCAGAGTAGTTCGATGATACCACCTCATTGCTGTCGGGTTCCTGTATGATTTCGCTCTGCCGCTCCGACAAGTACAGAAAAGACAAAAAAAACAATACTGCCTGCAGATTGAGTCGACCCATGGTTCGTTTTCCGTCGGGTAAGAAACACACCATTTTAGGTCACTAAAAGCGTCCCATTGATGGTGTCAGCATAGAAAAACAAAAAAATCAAAAAGCAGAAGTAGCAGTAACAGCAATTGTACCTCAGTACATGCTTAGCGTGGATCTTACCTTCTTCAAGTCCAGATCATCGAGGTGGTTCTGGAAGAACTGCATAGTGGAGGTGAAATCGGCCTGGTTGAACTCATACGGGATGTTCCAACCCAGCGGACCAAACTTGCGACGTTCCTGCACAAAGCAGTGAGATAGATTGCAAGTGATGACCACAGGGAAAAGGATTCCGGAAAAGCCATTATAGAAACTAGTAGCATGATGCTGCACATCATGCGATACGGATAACCCACTGCAGAGCAGAGCACAGACTAGCACAGGACAGAGCACACGGCACCCAGCAGAGCGGAGCACCCACCACACAGTACAGCACTGCACAGCACACAGTACAGCACTACACAGTACACAACCGACAATTTTTGGAAGAGGACGCATATTTTGAGCTCCTCACAAAATCCCCATGGGGGCCTAACAGCCGTAGTTTTCTGCCCTTAGGGGGTGTCAGCGGATCACCAGGAAGATGAAGAACAAGAGCTCAGCCGTAGGTTTGACCTAGCCATCGTGACCCAGGATGGGCTTGTATGTGTGTGTGTGTGTGTGTGTGTGTGTGTGTGTGTGTGTGTGTGTGTGTGTGTGTGTGTGTGTGTGTGTGTGTGTGTGTGTGTGTGTGTGTGTGTGTGTGTGTGTGTGTGTGTGTGTGTGTGTGTGTGTGTGTGTGTGTGTGTGTGTGTGTGTGTGTGTGTGTGTGTGTGTGTGTGTGTGTGTGTGTGTGTGTGTGTGTGTGTGTGTGTGTGTGTGTGTGTGTGTGTGTGTGTGTGTGTGTGTGTGTGTGTGTGTGTGTGTGTGTGTGTGTGTGTGTGTGTGTGTGTGTGTGTGTGTGTGTGTGTGTGTGTGTGTGTGTGTGTGTGTGTGTGTGTGTGTGTGTGTGTGTGTGTGTGTGTGTGTGTGTGTGTGTGTGTGTGTGTGTGTGTGTGTGTGTGTGTGTGTGTGTGTGTGTGTGTGTGTGTGTGTGTGTGTGTGTGTGTGTGTGTGTGTGTGTGTGTGTGTGTGTGTGTGTGTGTGTGTGTGTGTGTGTGTGTGTGTGTGTGTGTGTGTGTGTGTGTGTGTGTGTGTGTGTGTGTGTGTGTGTGTGTGTGTGTGTGTGTGTGTGTGTGTGTGTGTGTGTGTGTGTGTGTGTGTGTGTGTGTGTGTGTGTGTGTGTGTGTGTGTGTGTGTGTGTGTGTGTGTGTGTGTGTGTGTGTGTGTGTGTGTGTGTGTGTGTGTGTGTGTGTGTGTGTGTGTGTGTGTGTGTGTGTGTGTGTGTGTGTGTGTGTGTGTGTGTGTGTGTGTGTGTGTGTGTGTGTGTGTGTGTGTGTGTGTGTGTGTGTGTGTGTGTGTGTGTGTGTGTGTGTGTGTGTGTGTGTGTGTGTGTGTGTGTGTGTGTGTGTGTGTGTGTGTGTGTGTGTGTGTGTGTGTGTGTGTGTGTGTGTGTGTGTGTGTGTGTGTGTGTGTGTGTGTGTGTGTGTGTGTGTGTGTGTGTGTGTGTGTGTGTGTGTGTGTGTGTGTGTGTGTGTGTGTGTGTGTGTGTGTGTGTGTGTGTGTGTGTGTGTGTGTGTGTGTGTGTGTGTGTGTGTGTGTGTGTGTGTGTGTGTGTGTGTGTGTGTGTGTGTGTGTGTGTGTGTGTGTGTGTGTAAAAATCGCCAGATCACAGCTCACAGCACAGCACACAGCACAGCAGAGTCCAGCAAAGCACAGCACAGCAGAGTACAGCACACAATATATACCTGGACAGTCGTGTGTAGGAACGCCAAGCCGAAGAGCATTGGTTTCCACTGAGGCAGGTTGCTGATGTCCAGCTGGTCCTGGCTGATACCTACATCATCACACACATGCACACACGTGCACACACGTACACACACACACACATACACCTATGGATAGTAGTTCACATACAGATACCTAGTTACATGCGAGTGCAAGGTCTTTGACTTACAAAAACTACTTGCACCAGATGCCAGGACTAAGCTAGTCATACTGTGGTAAAGTGACCAGCGCATCACCATGCACTACACATATTCAACCAGTGATAACAGTAAGCCAGCCACTGACCTTAGTGACACATGCACAAACAGAGACATAACACACACATACACACACACACACACAGCTCCAGCATGCGTCATCTTACCAGTGTAGGTTCGTTTGAGACCGGCCTTGATTCCCTGCGGCGGCTCATTAGTGAACTTCAAGCCGATCTGCAACAAGGAGATCGGGAACTTCGGGTGCACCTCTGTCGTCATCCACAAGCGGAAGTCCTCGTGAATGTTCTCCGCATCCACCATGAGCAGGAAGAGCTCATCCATGAAGTCAAGACCCAAATGGCAGTTCTGCAGCAGCGCCCATCCTCCACCGCCCATGAATTGTTGTAGAAGACGTCGTGCGTGAACGTCCTGCCCTTGACCCATGCTGATGGCTCGGCATTCCAGATTCTCGCGCTTTGCCAGGTTCTCAATGTCGGCCGTGGGATCCGATCCCATCGACAGCAGTCCGATCATGGGTGTACGGGGGGTACTCTCCGCGTGAAGATCCTGCACCACACGCACACAATGGACATACGGATATACGTGGACACACATGGACACATACACACACAGACACGTGGACACACATGGACACACAGACACGTCGACACACATGGACACACACGGACACACATAATTATACACACACGTGGACACACGTACACACAAAAACAGTTATATGCATGAAGGAGCGTACCCAAGCAAGAATACATTATTGCTTCATTGCAATTTGACCTGACCAAGCTGGCCATGTTTTGGAGGCATACCAGTATTAAAATCAGCGCAGGTTACAGCTGGAGGGGGGGGGGGAGAAGATCTACTTAGGAGCTTCTGTTTGTGCATCTGCAGTGGTGAGGTCATTGCTAATGCAGTACATACCCTCAGGTCCAGGATGACACCCTCCGCAAAGCGCAGACCCAGTGACTCGGTGATGTATTTGCGTGCTTGCACGGCTGTACGATCCGGACACCAGCTCCTGACCAGCAGCAGGCGACGGAATGTGTCCAGCGAGTGCTCATAGCCATCTGGACATGGAGTCTCCTCCGGTGCCTCAACATCAAACCAAGCCTTCCAGGCCTTGTCATTGCGAGCAATCTACACAAACAACAACGCAGAATAATACCATTTGTGGCCATGTACTTGCATCTGTACTGGTATGTGTAGTGGTATGTGTACACGTAGTGGTATGTGTGCGAAGTATGGTGGCCCGTGTTTACCCTCCGTCTAATTACAATGTTTTGTCTGTGTCTAGATTTCCGAAGGAGATCACTGTCATTGTTAGAGTGATTATGTCATGATGACGTCATGGCAGAAAAGTCCCGATAAGATGACAACATCGTAACATGCGGTTATGTCATGGTAGTTCCTATGCACAGGTCATGGACATGCCCTGGATACGCGGCACATACACGGTAATGTAGGCAGCAGGTGTGTGATACACATGCACAATGACATGATGTGTAGTGACAGCGGCGTTCTCACCTGGCTGAGGATCTCGGAGAACTGAGGTAGCTTGCTGAGCTCGACCAAGTTGAGCCAGGTCAAGTCCAGGATCCACTTGGCTGGCTTAGGTTCCACAGCATTCAGATCCAAAGCAGCACCTCCCTTGATCAGCGTACTGAACTCACGATGTTTTACCTACGTACACAACATCGGCACAACCAACACCTTAAAGGCTAGAAACAGTCCTGGAGATATGGTGAACATTTGAGGTGATGTATGCAGCAAATAGACCATATTTGAATGTTTTGATTGAGGAAACCTAATGTGTAAATGGCTGCAATGGAGTCTGTGAATGATTAGGAAAGAAACGGTTCCTACTGAGAAAATAGAGAAAACATTACAATATGTAGGAAAATCTATAGAAAAGAAAAAAGACCAAGTAACTACAAATTACGCTATAATGTCCACTAACACCACCAGTTACTTGACAATCAGCTCATGCGATAACATTGCACAAAACAGTACAATATGTAGGACACGTATTGTACGCTCAGTCAGTTCAGTCACTAGGACTAACCTTGTTATTGTTCAGGTCTATTTTCAGTGCCAAGAGCAGCGTGAACAGAAATTTGTCCTCCTCGTAGAGACCACGCGACGTGTAGCGGAATACCTCAAACGTCAAGTACTCCACAATGGCGGCGATTCTCTTGGCGGTGACGGGAGACTTGGTGCTGCGCTCCATGGAGTTGTCGAACAGCCCCAGGAACTGCGGCAGAGACGTCTGGTACATGCAGTTGACCATGCTCATGTTTGTGATCAAGAAGTAGAGAATACTGCCACGGGTGGCCACCGGTCGGAACTCCTCACGTGCAGATGTGATCTTGATCTCTGTGTCAGCAGCAACCTACACAAGGAGAATGTACATGTACATGGCAGCGGCAATGAGATACAGCACATCACATGCAACAGTTACATCTACAGTCAACTTTGCGTATAACGACACTCGGCGGGGAATCAGAAACGTTCTCTTATTCGCGAGGTGTCCTTATACCCGAAGTCTCATTATTATGTATTACGGTTGGATGAGACTTTGCTCTGGGCATGGAGATTCTGTCGTTATTCACGAATTGTCGTTATATCCGCAGTCGTTATTAGAAGACTTGACTGTAGTTACATCTGCAGTGTATGTGTAAATGCATGACATCATAATAATTGTCGGCAGCCACCTACACAAAGAACATGTGCACAGCACCGGAAACGAGATACAAAGGCTCCAGTCTCTCCGGAGGCGTGGGCTCGAATCCCACCGCTGCCACCAATGTTAGCTCCCGACTAAACGAAGTCCCCTCAGACTTCCAGAACACAGGGGTTTTGTACTTCCTCCGTTAACAAAAACTTCGTGATGGATTTGGATGGATATGAAAACGCTTAGAACAGGTCAAGAACAGTTTGTGTCGACTGCAAATCACTGGACGAAGGTGATTAAGCCTATGTACAGCGTCGTTACAAGAGAAACTGTTGGCGGAATGGGCAGAGAGTTCAGTTTGCGTCGCTTTCGCTCGATTAATTTTTGACCTGCGTCGCTGTCGTCATCTGCTGCACGCGAGTCGTCATCTGCTGTACGCGAGTCGTCATCTCTCTCGAATCGTTGTTCAGCTCGTTTCAGCCTTGCCTCGGCTTCTTTGATCACACTCCGCTTGATGCCGCCGTCGTTCAAGTAAGTTTGCTTTCAAGCTGCGTGATCCGCCGCGATGGCGATTACTCGTTTCCACCAGAGAGTCGTGAAAAATATTTTACGACTCCTGGTTTCATCTTCGCTCTCCAGAACTCCGCAAAACGAGGAGTAAAGGCACAGCCAAACTGATTCTATTTTCTCTAATGGATACCAGCACTGAACGGCAGCGGCTAGCAAGTCCAGTCGACTTTCTTTAGCCACGAGACTCGCATCGGACTGGAGACTTCTGAAAGAATGCATGGTCATCAGTATTCGAATCTGGGCTTTGCGCAGGTTGAACAAGAACTTGAGTTCAGAATTATTTTCATTCAGCCGTGCGATCGGAGCAGCTCCTTGTTCACTCGCTCATTGTGTGGGCTCGCTGCTCCGTTCTATCGCTCTCTATCACTCTCCAACGTACTCAGTGCTAAAGTGGTAGAGAGGCCAAGCAGCGCAATATCCCCTCGAAGAAGTGGTATTTCAGTTTCGCTCGCCATGACTGTCATCACCTATGTTTCCACAGCGCAACCATCGATTCCGCTCGGCTTGTTTTGAAAGTTCGCTTTCCTTGCATCGTACCTCTGTCATGGCATGCCAGGGAAGGCCAAGAAAGTGATTGCGACTCATTTCACGGCAGTTTGTGCCCAAATCAGCCCCTCAAAATTCCATCACGAAGTTTTTGTTAACGGAGGAAGTAATAATAATAACAATATGAACAGATCGCATATTGGCCGCATAAACAAATCATACGGGGGTCATGCACCTGTCAATGATCGTTAACCAGAGTTGCTTGTTGGTGGCGAGGTTGAGGTTTTGTAATATTGAATAATTATCGTCACTAGTTTGAGGGAAAGAGTAACTATATGGACAAAGTATTTACACAAGAGAGTAGGCAAGAGTGAGAAGGAGAACTAGAAAACCATTGGAGCCTCATGTGCTCTCCTATACTGGATTGGCTCTCATTACTATGGTGAAGGAGCGGGAAAAACGAATAGTGAGTATCGTACGGTCTTAGTATAAATACACCTATTGCACATATAAGAGTTACATCTAGCCATACAAACAACACCTCAGTAATGACGTGTGCCCGTGAGCTGATCATGTGCGTGGGTGTTCTAGAGTTTACAGTTATCGCTGCGTGCATTCATGCTGCACTGCGTTACGTTTGCTATAGCTTTCCCTAAAGTCCGGCATTCCATATGCAAGCAAAACCAGCAGTGCCCAGTATTTCAAAGTTTCATGTCACGGCTCCCAGCTTATCATTTACATGTATATGACAACTCATTGGTACTTTCCACATGGGTCAAACTTCTCAAACTATGTAGGCGGCAGTCACATACACACTCACAGGATCACGCTCTTTGGTGTGGTGTACAGGAAAACCTGTCAAGGCGACCACTCTGATAAGGCGACCACCTGCCTCAGAAGACCACTGTGACCAGGACCAAGGGATGCTATTTGCAGTGAAACGACCCTGGGTAAGGAGACCATCTGGCAACAGAGACCGCATTTTGCACGTCCCTTGAGCGGTCGACCGTCTTAGACAGGTTTCACTGTACATCGGAATGCTTGGTACAACATGAATGCTCCTGTTCTATGGATGGGAGTGCCCCCCCCCCCCCCCTACCCCAGCCATCACCTTGTTTCACTTCATTCTGACTAAGGCAGTCCGTGAACACTACACGCGTAGGTTAACAGTCAGCAGGTTGCATGGCTGACCTGTAGTTTCTGCTTGACGTCTTCAGAAGTCGACTTGGTCGTGCGCAGTACATCGATCAGCGTCTCATCGTCCACCAGGGAGCCCTTGGTCGACGTCAGCCGGTACAGCAGGTTGTCCTCGAGTTCCTGCATCTTCCTCTTGTTGGAGGTGACGTCTTCTAGCAGGGCCACACGCTCGGCCTCCAGCTCCCTCTTCTCTTTCAGAATCACCAAGCCAAGCAGCTGATCACCAAGACCTGCAGACACACCCGGTAATGGAACAGACAGAACAACACTGGTTCAGAAACTATAGATAGCATGTCGGTGAAACAAATGTGGCCACACTGCACGTGTTGTTTGGAGTATTTCAGCAGCAGAATGTGCCTGACCTGATAGAGGGGAAATGGAGAAAAGTTGCTAAAATATTATAATAATGTGAAAACGATGTTCAGTGTTTTGCAGAGCTAAGGGAACAAGCTTGTCGGCTCGAATGCCTTTCTTCTAAATGAAACTGCAGGAAGCGTCACCCTTACTTCTGAGATTGTGCTTAGTGTGTGTAGTGTGTAGTGTGTAGTGTGTGTAGTGTGTGTAGTGTGCTGTCTACAGTAAAATATGCCTATGATGACCACCGCTCGAGAGACATTGAATGTGTGGTCCGCAACCACACACAGGACTGGCTGTCCATAATGACATCATTGTGCATTCCATTAGCTCAGCGATGACATCATAATGACTTCATCCTCACATTGACTATGTCTTCTTGATTGTCTGAGACTTACCCTTCATTGTGACAGTGAAGTCGATGATGGATGTTCTGGCTGAGATCTCGGGTGTATACGACGGATTGGGAAGTTTGGTTGTGATGTAAAGCATGAATCCCTTCATGACATCCACCTCCTTGTCACCAACTTTCACCTTCAGCGTACTGCCACTCTTGATGAAGTTCTTCTCCAGCACGTTGTCGAGTGCCGGGTCGAGCTCTTCACCAATGTCTTCGATGAGGATTGGTTTGCCAAGGGAAAGACAGTCCTCGAGATGTGTTCTGAAATACTTGTTGTTGAGCGATGTTAACTGTGACCCAGAAGGAGATAAAGAATGAGCAACCGAAGCACAGTCTTGGGATTTCAATGTGTTTGAGTGGATATACCATGGACAACAATACTAATTGGAAACAAGGAAAACGGTGGGTCACATATTTGCATATTGTTTCCATTTAATATTCTCCTTGGCTCACCATCTGAGTACTGACTTCACAACAATATTCTACAGAATTTTATAATGTAATACAGGGATGATGATTGGCTGCTCATTGACGTGTGAGAACGCGAGTATCATGACCGGTCAAGGAATGAGTCAGCACTGCGTTTGGTGAAAATCTTTCCTTACTACGAATCGTGAATTCTGGATTCGTTCACTTGCACAAAGCAGCACATTTGACCAAGGTCTGTGAAGATTGTCTGCAGAGTGGTAGGAGGGTATGTACACAGGATTTTCTAGCTAAGAGTATGACCAAGAGTCCTTAATCCCCCAGAGTGCACAGCTGGGATGGGGTTGTGCAACGGCGTAATCCGTGATGTACGTCATTTTTGGGGTCGGACTTGCGTCATTCCGTCAACGCGGTCCACCACGGTCCACACTTCCCCTACTCATGATGTCACACTATGACGTGCAACACGGATTTCGCCGTCCCACATCTGATAAGTGAAGTTGCACACTCTGCGGGAATAATGGACTCTTGGTATGACGTCATACTGAAACATCATAATATCCATCATTGAAACATTGTACAGCAGTACTTGTATATAGCCAGTCACACTAACTGGTAACGTTAGTACCCCTGACCACCATCATGTGACAACCAGTACAAACGTCACCGTACTCACCTGCATTTCGTTCTGAGCTTCCTTGTTCTTGACCCAGGTCTTGCCCTGACCCTGCGGATCCATGAGCAGCGGGTAGCGCGTTGCCTTGGTGACGATGATGCCGTTCTGCACCGAGAGCTCGTCGTTGGGCAGTCCTTGCAGACCCCACTCACCGACCTACACAGCAATGATAATGGCGATGGAAATGGCAATGACAGTGGCAGCATTCCACCAATGGATGAACACCATTAGGCACAGAGAAATTCGAATAGCAAAGTTTGAAATTGTGGCTACTGCCGTACTGGCAAACAGTAAAGGCAATTTACCCATGCTGAAGGCGAATTCATATATTTGGTGTTTACATCTGAATGTTTCAGAGCCTGCACCGTGCAAGGATCCCATGACAACACTTGTTGAAACCCGCCATGAAACAATTGTCCAAAATATCAAATTACTAACTGTAAAACAGTACGTATGTATGTATCTGGGGATGGGGGGGGGGGGGGAGTTGAGGGAAGATAAGAGAAGGGAAGAGGGCAGAGGGATTTTATAATGACGTGATTCGAGTCTGTACTGGCGACATAATTTCATTGGCCTTCCAGTTACCTGAGCCAAACCTCTAATAACATCCTGGCACACACTTACCGTAGCAGAGTCCACCAACATGCCAGTGACGTCGAGACTACCAGTGAACGGAATACCGCGCGTCTTCAGTTCCTTCTTCCAGTCGTCCAGCAACAGATCGCGGAACTCTTGATTGAACGGCCCCGAGTAAGACAGGAATCCAGTGCACAGCAGTACATCTCCTACCAGCCTGGAGAGTAGAGCAGCGTATACACCCACACAAACAGATTTCCAAAAGAGTGGTTACAAATACTTGTCATGTTGGGTTTGGTTTGGTTTTTATTATTTCAGTTCTTTGCCTCAACCATACAAATATCAAGAGGGACGAACGGAACGAGAAAGGTAAAATAACGTTAGAGAAGAAAGGAAGACGCAACTGGAAGGAAAGAAAAACGGAGCGGGAATGTGGACTGAGTAGATTCATGAACCATTATGTGACTTAGTTTGCGTAGAAAGGGATCATGTCATGCGGACAGTGGAACCAACATGGCTGACATCATGTGCCCCATAGATGAAGAGGTTGAGTGAAGTTGGAACCAACATGATAGATGTATGGCCATGAGACAGATGTACACGAGTTCTGTTAGCAACCATCCCACAGTGGCACAGCAACCATCCCGCAGTGGCATAGCAACCATCTCGCAGTGGCATATCAACCATCTCGCAGTGGCACAGCAACCATCCCGCAGTGGCATATCAACCATCTCGCAGTGGCACAGCAACCATCCCGCAGTGGCATATCAACCATCTCGCAGTGGCATATCAACCATCTCGCAGTGGCATATCAACCATCCCGCAGTGGCATATCAACCATCTCGCAGTGGCATATCAACCATCCCGCAGTGGCATATCAACCATCTCGCAGTGGCATATCAACCATCCCGCAGTGGCATATCAACCATCTCGCAGTGGCATATCAAGCATCTCGCAGTGGCATATCAACCATCCCGCAGTGTCATATCAAGCATCTCGCAGTGGCATATCAACCATCCCGCAGTGGCATACACAGACACATGACTGTATATTTAAAAAAATCCTGTGATCACGGAAAAGACATAATTACCTCTCTTTCCCTCTTTTTTCCGTGGTTGGTCTCACCCTCTCCTCAATTCAAAAACCTGTCTTAACATGCAACGAGGTGCAGCAATAAATAAAATAAGCGTCTGCTGTGGGCCATCGCTTACCTTCCAATCTGATCCTGGAATTCTTTGCTCTGGATAGTCCATCTGTCCTTCTCACCGGACAGTCCGCCAATCAAGGCACTGGCGGCGGCCATCTTTCTACGGCACGTATCCGCGTCATCAATCAGTGTCTACGGGGTATAGGATGGTGTGCAAACACACACAGCGACATCGAATAGTCAATTACATGGAAGGTAGTAGGGGAAAGTACTCATTACATGCTACAATGGGACATGCCATGCCAATCACAAAGTGTCATCACTCCCTGTCTCGTGGTGATGTTACTCATGGGACATTCGCTGCATTCAAAGACTATGACATTGTAACCAGAGTGATTGTGAGCTCTGACTCAGCGTAATTACACTACAATATTTAGACCAACTTGGCCATAATACTAGGAAAAAATTCAAATATCAAAAATTTCAAAAATTCAAACCCAAATATCCATTTCACAATGATAACAAGGTGGCACGTGCATTTCATTTTTTGCGACGCAGCCAAAAGTAATGCATTGCCAAACATGGAAGGTAAGATTAATGCGTGCGAGTACACTTCGATCCAGCCTGCACTGTCTAACACCACACACAACCATGCCCTGGTGTCCGTGGGGGGTGTTGTCGGTGCAAACTACAGCATTGCACAATCAGCGTGTTCCGGGTCCTCCACAAATCGGTTACCTGTTTCTCGATCATGGCCTTGTCGTACATGGCTTGTACTGCAGCTAGTTCAGCTTCCTTCTCGTCCAGCTGTGCTTGTGCGGCGTTGAGCTCACCCTGGGCAACGGCTAGCTTCGCCTCGGCTTTCACAAGATTGGCCTAAACTCACATGTATATACACAACCAGAGTCGACACACATGCACATGATTACACTCAGGGAGAGTTGCGGCAGCAGCACATGAAAGTGCTTGATGCATCTAGAGCCTTGTGCACTTAATGAGAAGGGATACAAAGCATTGCTGCAGTTACTCTGAGAACAGTTAGCGATTATCTGTGCTGTCTGATGACCAGTAGCATATGACACTCAGGATAGCGGCAACAATGCTTTGTTTTTTGTCTCCTTATGTGTATCAGACACATACATTGTAAACACCTGACCATGATGTCCCTGTTTGTACATGTAGGAATGTTGTTCTCCGAGGGCAATGCCAAGGGTACAAAAATACTCATGCAAACTTTGCTAATACTTAACAGTCACACATTTAGAGTGGTGAGGCATCCTGCAGCTTTACATGGGAACTCAGCTGGAGCAGGCCTGCTCTTTCTCCCCCCCCCCCCCCTCACACACACATATACACACCAAGATTTCGAAAGCTCCGTTAACCCCACATTTGCATCACAGGGAAACAAGACAGGGCATCATCGGTTACTAGATCTCTCTCCTCTTTCTCTCTCTCTCTCTCTCTCTCTCTCTCTCTCTCTCTCTCCTCTCTTTCCCTCTCCTCTCTCTCTCCCTCTCTCTCCTCTCACCTTTCCTCTCTCATTCTCTCTTTCTCTCTCTTTCTCTCTCTCTCTCTCTCTCTCTCTCTCTCTCTCTCTCTCTCTCTCTCTCTCTCTCTCTCTCTCTCTCTCTCTCTCTCTCTCTCTCTCTCTCTCTCTCTCCCCTCTCTCCGACTCTGTCTTACCTTCAACGGCAGCACTTCTCTGTTGATCTCAAAGAAGGCAGCCATGGCCAAAGTCCAGGAGCACAATCCAGCCACGTCACCGCACACTTTCTTGGCACTGGCTAGGTTATAGTCATCCATTGCAAAGTAGGGCCTGAGAAGCTCAACAGTCTCGGCATTGATCGTGTCCTTGGGGAAGGTTTGCAGCGTGTTCAGGAAACCTCCAGCGCTCATCAACTGCAGCAGATTGCGGAATCAAAGCAATGAATAATCAATGCATAACCAATGCATAATCAAGCGTCCAGTGACGCATAATATAAAGAGCGTTGATGCGGAAGATGCAAGGGGTTTTCCCATGGTGGGTACATGTTGTCATGATAAGAGGAGTCAGGCTGCATGTGCTATAGCACTGCAGTGGCATGAATAGTACTAGTAATCAATACTATCATACAGAATCTGGCCATGAGTAACTATGACAAGTGGAGCCATGTGACACAGGTCATAACATTACGACTTGAGACTTCCGGAGCAGGTGTGATTTGCTTCCAAAGTCCGCTAGATGGAAATACATAACAGAGCGTTGCAGTGCAATTGTTACAACATGTCATTATCGAGAGGCATAATGTCCAGCAAGATTAGCCAGAGAATGCTGGTAAGTCCCAAGAGTAAGAAAATGGGATAAAGGAGATATTCACAGTTCACAGTTAGTAAGCCAGGACCCACGGTCGGGGGACGTAGGCCCAATTTATCAGCACGCTGCTCCGGCTTCCAGCTGTATTGTCATGTCTTCACCATGGTTCTGTCTACCCATTCTGTCCTTTACTGGACTGTGCACTTCAGTACAAAAATGAAAGAAAAATGGATGACCTAGACACATTCTCCAACCTTCAATGACTCGGACCAGGACGGCGAGTTGGTAGGCTTCTCCTTGTCCATTGTCCACGTGCTGAGTTTGCGTTGGAACAGAATGAGTACGCAATCCATGATGCGCATGATGAGATGCGGCGGATTGGCCAGCTTACGTACAGTGGAAATGTGAGCTGGTTTGATTGTCTGACAGCACACAGTCACGAATACACAAACACCAAAGACGGTGAGAGAAGGGAGAGAGAGAGAGAGAGAGAGAGAGAGAGAGGCGGGGGGGGGGGAAAGAGAGAGAGAGAGAGGGAGGGAGAGAGAGAGGGAGAGAGATAGAGAGAGAGAGAGAGAGAGAGAGAGAGAGAGAGAGAGAGAGAGAGAGAGAGAGAGAGATAGAGCGAGACAGACAGAGACAGACAGACAGACAGACAGACAAAGAGAGAGGGGAGGAAGGGGAGGTACAGAAAGAAAGGGACAGGAAGAGATCCAACTAGTCGGAAATACTAGGTAATTATCAAACCACAGATGTTATTAGCCCAACTGAGGGCAGCAACCTGCTATAATTCGCCTAAACAAAAATCATGCAGCATACCACAACTTGGAAGAGTGAAGTAGAAGCGACTATGACACTCGCATACATACAGTCACAATTGCCATCTGGATACACACCCATCAAAATATGATATCTAACACAAATACAATGATGCTTTAATCCTTCCATGCAGTGCAAGGCACACAGGCACTGCAGAGGAAGATTGGATATTTGCATCGCTAACCATACCTGCAGGGCTGCTTCTGCTTCCTCTAATGCCGGTCTCGCTGCCTCTAGTTTTCCCTCAGCTACTGCCTTGTCAGTCTACCTCACACAATTAGGTGTGTACATTCACAGACACATGAACACAAACACATACACACATACACCCACATGACACACACACACACACACACACACACACACACACACAAGTAAGCACCAACACAGAAAGAAAGACTGTCACCAGAAAATGATTCAGATGCCTACAACCGTCAAATAATGTTCGCAGAAAGAACCCACCCTCTCTACTTCACCCAACACACATCGTACATGTTATGCTCAGATAGCTGTGTGTGCTAAGGTAAGCTGGTGATTCTCCGGTGTGTTCAACTCGCGACACTCAATCTCTTGTTTTCAGTTTTCTCGCGGACAGGACTTGACTCGTGACTTGCCAGAACTGAATTCTAGAGCACGTGAGAAGTTTGCCGAAACTTCGAATCGACAATGGCCTGCATGTGCATAGCCGGTCACATTATGTTACATTATGTGACATAATGTAACATAATGTGACATTATGTTACATTATGTGACTCTGTTTTTCTTTCCTTTCTTTCTTGTTTTGAATTGTACGTTGAACTCATTGGATTTCTTTGTATTCTGTATCTCGTTATCGTTATATTTCCCTCTAGCCCTCTCGCTTAGGATGAGCTTTCTTTTTTATGGCAGCTTAAGCGAAGGCTATATACCTGCTTTATGCAGGTTGATGCCAACGCGAACAAGCAAAATAATAAATAATAATAATGTGACATAATGTAACATAATGTGACATTTTGTTACATTATGTCATTAATTTTAATGTCACTGTGCTCTAGATCATGACTTCTACCCCTCACCAGTAGAACACTCTGGGCAGTACAGCACCGTACACTGTAGGAAATTGCTGATTGCACATGACACTATCACCACCATTGACAACATTAATGCTTGCATTATGACTTTGCTCAGCCTGGGTGAGTCTGTACAGCGTTATCCAGTGCTAGTATTCCCTGCCCTTACCGCGATATCGTCGACAATAGCCTGAGCCTTATCCTTGACTTTCTGAACCTCGGCCTTGACCTTCTCAGCTGCCTGGGCACTAGCTGTCACTTCCACCAGCACCTGAACACATGAAATCGTTGTGTTAACACCATGACATCACAATAATTGGCATGATGTCTTTGTCATTATATTATAATGACAAAGACATCATGCCAATTACACTCAAACCTCGTTAGGACGAACTTCAAGGGGCTGAACAAATTTGTTTGTCTTATCGGGAGTTCTTCTTATCCAGATCTGACAAAAAAATCGATATGCATATCATATGTAAAAAGGCGACGTGGAGACAATAATCTTAATAATGCATTGCATATCATATGGATTGTATTTACGTGAAGGTGCATACTGTGGTAAATGGGAAGCATTTATTCTCAGCATAAGCCAGAAACAGACAATGTGCTACAATTCGTGACTGTGCTTCCATATACAAACAAATACATTACGATAAACCATAGCCATAGGTTGAATATGAGTGATTACGAGTGTGCATGTGAAGCACAGCATCTCAACATCCATACTTTACAAAAAAGTTCACGGTTCGTGTGAGACTCGGTCGGAGCCAGTGGAGGCCGAGTTTTCCGCATCCGCAGGAACGCCACTACCCTCTACGGATCAACGCTCTTTGCTTCACAAAACACTTCACAACTCGATCAACGACGCGAACAGTGTACGCTGAAGCTTGGCCTAGAAAGCACGCACGTCAGTGCGTCTACTACGATTCACTACGTAGATCTATGTACGTACAACCAATGTATGAAACCGTCTATCGAAAAAAAGAAAAAAAGACAGCCAGCGCACGCACCCAAAGTTCGTACTACGTGCTGATTTTATTCAAATCACACTTGAAAATCGTTCGTCTTCGCGAAAGTTCGCCATACAGGAGTTCGTCGTAAATGAATAATTTTGACTTGATATGATGCCTGGTCAACCATAGGATTGGCCCTAGTTCGTACTAATGGAAAGTTCGCCTTATCAGTGTTTGTCCTAACGAGGTTTGACTGTATATAGGCTAGTCCACCAGTACACATGGCCTGTTGTTGGCAAACCCTATGGCAAACCTACAACCTGGCATTGAAGTTTGCTACAGCCTGGAACTTTACTGCTCAGAGGCTCCACTTCAATGTATACGACGTCATTCTGTTATGCCTCATATCATAAGTCTATGAAGTGTGTGAGGGTATTATGTACATCTGAAAAGAGAGAGAGAGGGGTGGGGGGGGGGGGTCAAATCCTATGTGTGATCCCCAGGAAATACAATTTGAGAATCTGCTGTCCGATGATTTCTCACCTTCTCGGCCTTGACTGAGGCAACGGCGAGGTCCTTCTCCTTGACAGCCAGTTCCTTGGAGAGCTGTGCCACGCTCTCGCTGGCCTCGATCAGCTTGTCCAGACCTGTTTTCATGCGCTTGGCCAGCATGCCGATATCGTTGTGCTTCTGAGAGTAGATGGTCTTGTAGCCGTTGATGAAAGAGAGATAGGACTTTGGCGTGACGTGAGCAGTTCGACGGTATCTACACGCAGACGGAAGAAATGTGTCGACAATCACGTGTTGATATTGCTCAATGGTCACATGATCTCGGTCACGTGACTTCATCATCTCTTGGTCATGTGACATTATAATCTCGTGATCATGTGACGTGTTTCCAGTAACATCAAATGGGCATGGGACTGTCTAAAGATCACTGCTGCTGTCATGTACCTAGCTGGAATGAAATAATAGTTTGCATGAAAGTCAATCTGACTCAGGGTAGCGCATGTGCAGGAACACCATCACCATCACCTGGCTAAGTGTACTGTGTGAATGAGCGTTAGAACTCAGAGAGCTGGGGGGGGGGGGGGGAAGGTGCACTGAAAACAACAATACTAATGTTTTCCCGGTCGCCATGTTATATTGGTTACCATAGGGACAGGTCTTTGTCATAGCTGACTGAATAAATCCAGGACATGCCAGGCTATGCAGGGCTCTGTGAATTCATGCATGCACAGCGCCGGTAATGTTACCTGTGAAAGTAGTCCACACAGGCCTCAGCCACCCGATCCTGGAAGACACCCATGGCAAACACGACTTCCTTCTTGACTTCGGGCGTGCACACGATGTCGTAGGAGGCCAGGAAATGCCTGGCCACCGCCTGCAGGGCTTCTTTGGGCCAGCGACTGAACCAGTCCATGGTACAGCCGGAAATCAACGCTGGGAACTTGAGAGCGCGGTTACGGAACTTCTCACCCACCTGAATGAGCATATAGAATGAAAGGGAGAGAGGGGGGGGGAGAGGTGGAGATAGGGAGAGGGGAAACGAACATGTATACTACAGTGGAATTCACGTAGCACAGGATACTAGTGCTCGGATAAGACATAATTATTCTGCTCAGTACGTACAGTGTTGAGAGCATGGTTGTATAGTTCCTTGCTGAAGAAACTTAGTTATCGGTCGGGATAAGAAGTATGTCAGAATACTCAGAATACACTTTCCAGCTGCCTAATCGGGTATGACCTATCAGAATTCATTGTATTCAGAAAGGGGCACATTATCTTTTCACAGAAATGCATTCACAAATTTCATAAGCATAAGAGCCCACCACTGCCTAGCACACCACTCAGGAGAATAGCATGGTGTGTGCGGGAAAACTGAAAAGAATCCCGGGCAAAGAAACACAGCAAGCAAAGGACAACTTGCATGACTCACCGGTGAGAAACAGAGGACGACGTGCAGGTTCTGGCGACAGCGGTACAGGAAATAATCGTAGAGATTCTCGAGAGTGGGCGGACGTCGGGGAAACTCCTTTTTCATGATCGGAATCAGTTCATTCAAGATCTCATCCTGCTCGTCACGGGCAAATAGGTTAGCTACCTGCAATTGAATACCAGTGGTGATATCAAATGAAGGAGAGGAGGGAGTGAGAAGCAGAGATGGAGAGAGAGAGAGAGAGAGAGAGAGAGAGAGAGAGAGAGAGAGAGAGAGAGAGAGAGAGAGAGAGGCAGAGACGGGGGGAGAGAGGCAGAGATGGAAGGGAAATAGAGAGAGATAAAAACACCACTACCTGGTGGTAATGGGGCTGACATAGTGGTTGGTAGCCACATGCATAACTGTATCGGCATATAAACTTCACTGCCAGACCATCCACATCGCCTCGTACACAGAGCATCCACATCGCCTCGTACACAGAGCATCCACATCGCCTCGTACACAGAGCATCCACATCGCCTCGTACACAGAGCATCCACATCGCCTCGTACACAGAGCATCCACATCGCCTCGTACACAGAGCATCCACATCGCCTCGTACACAGAGCATCCACATCGCCTCGTACACAGAGCATCCACATCGCCTCGTACACAGAGCATCCACATCGCCTCGTACACAGAGCATCCACATCGCCTCGTACACAGAGCATCCACATCGCCTCGTACACAGAGCATCACTTGCAGGCGCGAAGCCCGCATAGAGCACAGGGGCACGTGCACCCCCCCCCCCCTCTAAAAATTTCGACCTATGCCACAGCCATCCTACACATATGTGGCTGTGTACCCCCCCCCCCCCCCGAAAGGGGGACCAGCTACGCCCCTGATTTGATAGACATACCTCTCCGGACGCCAGCACGTTGTTCAAATACTCCAGGAAAGCCTCGTCCTTGATTTCTTGATCTGTAAAGATGAACGTGATACCCTTTCCCTGATGTCCGGCAGTGCGGTACAGAACTTTGAGATCATCCTGCAGGTTACTGATGTTGTAGGACCTATCGGGCAAGCAAAAACACCCGGACACAAACAGGTCTTATTAGCACCCGCTCCTACACAGTGAGTACTATTACTTCTTGGAAAAAGGAAAGATGTGAGAACAAATTTCGAAGCCTCGACATACTACATATCAATGTGTGTCAGTGTTATGCATAAACGACATGTTGGTAAACTTTGTCAGAGTTATTTATCTACTACGTGCATACCTTGTCAGTGTTATTTGGAAGATCTTGTAGTTCGCAATGAATGACGCCAGTCGCGTCAAGCTCTGCTTTCCAGAGCCACCGACACCGACCAGCAAACTGTGTCCCTTGCTGGTACGAATCACACGGGAGATCTACCATGACAAGAATGCAGACACATCCGCACATCCACACAGACACACGGGTGCACACAGACACACATCCACACAGACACATCCACACGGGTGCACATACACAAAAGCAAATAAACACAACCACGTACAGACATCCACATTCTCACATCCACATAAATATACAAACATTAACACACATACACAGTTAACATCAAGCTGACCACGAAATGAGTGATTCCCACGACAATCAGCATAAACTTTACAATGCCTCCGAGTACCGTGCTACCTTATGTACTCAAAGCCATCAGAATAATTAGAAACAGACACTGCAACAGATTTAAAAGCTCTCAGAGGAATCCATGCACATGGCTCTACCAGTATCAGATGAGCTCCAGATGAGTCCACCAGTATCAGATGACCTACAGATGAGTCCCCAAAATTCAGAATGCAGGTCTGTCTACCAGAATCAGAAGCTAAGCCAACAGATGAGTCCACCAAGACCATTGGCATCACCGCCATCTAACCTTGATCAAGTGCACCATGGCGTCCTTGAAGAAGACCAAGTCCATTCCAGCGCCTCGGATCGTCTCGTTGTACTGGGTCATGAACATCGTCAAGCGTTCCTCCAGTTCATCGTACGGTGGAATCTACATGCCAGTACATGAGACGGAGACAAAGCAGAGTTTTTTGTTGGCACATGCAGTTGTGCATTGACCATGTATTTTTGTCAAAGACTTCGTGAACATCTCTCTGCTCACAAAAATACCATTGTTTGAGCCACCGTAGAATTTAGAGGGATAATTCTGGTTTTGCAAATGTTCCACTACAGTTTGGTAGTGATCGAAAAATAATAGGTTGCCATGAAACACAAATGCAAATACAACTACCAAATATGTTATATGGTGAGTAGCATGTAGCATTTACGAGCAGTGGAACTCACTTAGCATATTTTGTCTGGAATTTAAATTCGTCTTTTTCGCCCAAAGAGCTTTTTGGACTAAATTAAATACCGGGCGAATGTCGATTTTTCCAGCTTTTCAATACACTCTTATGATCCATGGACCATGGACGAAATTTACAACCGGACGAACTCCCTTGCTTTGGAGTTGGACGAAATAATTATTGACCGATGAAATGTTCTCCCCGTACAGTACTCTGATGAGATGCACACATGCTTAGTACAGCCATTGTCCAGAGCAAGGGTGTACAGTCAACTTCGCTAATAACGACTGCGGATATAACGACAATTCGCGAATAACGACATAATTTCCTTGCCCAGAGCAAAGTCCCATCCCACTGTAATACATATAATGAGACTTCGGGTATAACGACACTTCGCGAATACGGACACCTTTTTGATGCCCCGCCGAGTGTCGTTATAAGAGAAGTTGACTGTAGTCATAAAACACTAAAGTAAGTCAGGATACCAAGTACCTGGGATATAGGTACACTTTTCTGCTGCCCATCGGGGGTGGGGTGGGGTGAATGGGGGGGGGGGGGTGGGGTGGGGTGAATGGGGGGGGGGAGGGGGGAAGGGGGTGGGGGTGTTGCATCTGATCAGAGTTCTACTGTAATACATAACATCAAGAGCACTTAACCCCCAAGAGTGTGCAACTGCTTGCACAGCCTCTAGACAGTGCTGCAACGGCAGAACTTCACATCACGTGATGCAGTTCAAAAGGTTACCCTGACAAACAGTGCAAAGTGGCCACGAGAGAGTTGAACCCAGAGCAGGGTTGCATGAAGCCCTGCATCTGCAAATAATGTGTACTGGTCCGGCAAGTGATGTGAAGTTCTGCTGTGGCAGACCACATAGATGGAGTTGCACACTCTTGGGGGTTATGTACTCTTGAAAAGCATATACCATAGCAATAGCTTACGGGCTCGTAAATCTTTGGAGCTTCCAACTCCTGGTCTTCCGGCTCTTCACCCGTGGCCTCCGGTGGGTCTTGCAAGAAATCCACGAAGTACGGTTCCTCGGGGATTAGACTAGCAATCTCATTGTCGAGATCTTCGGTGGCGACGCGTGTGATGGCCTTGTTGAACCATTCCTTATCCTGCGGGTTCGTGAAGCGGTCCGAGATGACGCGCTGGCATTCGTGTTTCCACAGCGACATGAGCAACTCACGTTCCTTAAGGATGTCGCTGTCGATGGTGAGTATTCCCTCCCAGATGCGGGAGAGATCACGCAAGTTGAAGATGTAGTGGAACTTGGCTGGCGTTGGCAACATCTTCACCTGAAGTCACATGTATGTCGATACAAAAGAGTAAAAACAACGCCTAGCTATAACTGTCTTGACAGGCGACTGTGATATGTATTTCTGGTGTGATAAAGAGTCAGTGGTCCTTCTTTCTGACACTATAATATCTGAAGGCCAAATATCAAGAGAGCGTATGTGCGTGTGTGTGGGGGGGGGGGTGTGGGGGGGGGGGGAGGTTGGGGTGGACGTGTGTGTGTGTCCAATGCAATTGCAGATTTGCACGCTTCTCTTGCGACAGACGTATATTGGGTACAGTAGCTATCGGTTATAGCGTGGGTGTTTGAAAACCGACTTTCTATTCTTATTTCCGATATTTCTTACACACGATAAATCAAGTGTGACATATCATGTGCATGTTCGCAGAGGCCGGAAGATCATCGTACATGCAATGTAGTGTTACTGTGCATGCGGCTGGTCATAGTCACATAGGCTTACCATGTGGCTATGCAACATAAGTTACATGACCACAACAGTTGAACCTGCAGCACTACGACTCAACGCGAGTCAGATCAGAACTGCATTTGACGGATGTTATTACTACAGGCGATATACTTTGTACTAATCTGGTATGTTTTGCTACACAAAGTCCATTCTTAGGACCGATATATTCTACTGTACGATAAAACTGCTTGTAAGAAGAAATGTGCACTTGAAATCCATGTTATGATTATGAAAACATGAGAGTTCATTCGTGTAGGCAGTATATTCTTTTACACGACCACGCTATAACCGATACGCACTGTACATGGTGTGAGCCTATGTGTGTTTTGGTGGCCGTGCTCATGACCAGAAGTGAACACAACCCACCTTAGTTGCTTGCCATAATTGACGTGTTGTCTGAACGAGTCGGTGTGCCAGGTCCACAACATCCGCCTTGAAGCCACGCTCCTTGCAGAAGTACCCTTCCGAGATAGACCCTGGTCAGAGCAACGCAATTGAAAGCACTTATTGTAAGTGTGATACGCTATAGGCGATACTGACTGCACACTTATTGTAAGTGTGATACGCTATAGGCGATACTGACTGCACACTTATTGTAAGTGTGATACGCTATAGGCCATACTGACTGCACACTTATTGTAAGTGTGATACGCTATAGGCCATACTGACTGCACACTTATTGTAAGTGTGATACGCTATAGGCGATACTGACTGCACACTTATTGTAAGTGTGATACGCTATAGGCCATACTGACTGCACACTTATTGTAAGTGTGATACGCTATAGGCGATACTGACTGCACACTTATTGTAAGTGTGATACGCTATAGGCCATACTGACTGCACACTTATTGTAAGTGTGATACGCTATAGGCCATACTGACTGCACACTTATTGTAAGTGTGATACGCTATAGGCGATACTGACTGCACACTTATTGTAAGTGTGATACGCTATAGGCGATACTGACTGCACACATGTGCCTGTGAGGCATGCAACGAATGCACTTTTGGGTGCCTATTCGATATCGGGACCGTCCCGGCCAAATTGGGATGGTTGGCGTGTATGCTGAGTGATCACAGCATATGGTCATATAACTCCCTGCAGTTCTCGCACACCAGAACACGCCCACCTCATGCACAACAAATCTCATTCCGTACCAAAGATCTTGTCGATGGAGGCATCGGATGGCAGAGTACAGTTGATGACGGAAAACTGTCGTTTCAGACGACTGGGAATGTCGTTGCGACCTCCGCCGGGGTGAATCATGGCAGCCAGGAACTGAATGTCGACAATACTGGTGAAATCACCAGGCTTCTCCAAGCTGTAGAAGCCCTGCATCTCGATAGTCTGTCGCACAATCTCATTGGTAATCTAAACACCAGGAAGTGCAGATAAACACCAGTAACAGTTTAGTCAGACCTTGTGCGCATGGATGCCTAGATTATGGAGGTCATGGGATAACATCATCATCACATCATCGTGTTAGGTGCTCTGTGTAGAGCGACACCACATGACGTCATTCACATAGCATCTCTATTTGACTGTATTTGTAAAGTCTTTGAGGACCAATAAATAGAAAGTAGCCACAGAGTGACTGCTCAAGGGCGTCGGAACCGCACCGGCCGGGGCGGCCATGGCCGCCCCACTTTTTCGGCCGTTTTTTTTTTTTGAGCACACTACAACAAAGCGCGAGGATCTCAGCGCAAACGTGGCAAATCCTTGTCCCCGATCGTGGTTTGTTGCAGAATCAAAAGTCCATGTACACTGAAATGGCACCAAATGCCTGGGAATGCTTGCAATTGGCTTCAATTTTTGAATTTTTTTCCCGAGGGAGGGTAATCGGTTTGTTCCCGTATGTCACGTGATTGTCGCCTTGGAGTTGACCAATGACAGATCAAACAGTGCGGGCTGGAAAGCGCGGTCCTGCCTGCTCGAGTCAAGGTGATGGAACTAGATCCACTGCCCGTCGTCAAGTGACGACGGGCAGGAACGGATTCCATTGCCCGTCGGGCAGTAGCCACTGGACTGACTCTACTTCATGGTCTTTCATTGGTTACTAATAAAATAACTACAAAAGTCTAAAGCAGAAGAGCGACTGTTTGCAACCACAACTGTCATCATGGCGCCCCAACATTTGACCTGGAACTGGGAGAAAAGAAGCCCCTTTGTTGAAAGATATCGGCGATGTGAATGAGCTCCTCCGAAAAGTTGACGACGAGCCGGATGAGCCTCAACCAAAGCGCACAATGCTCAGCAACCTGCAGGACCCGCGCAATTCGCCGACGTTTCCGATCAAGACGTGGCAAAAATCCGTAGGAACAGAACAGCCAGAATTCCCTGCCCGACGCCCTGTCGACCATGTCAATGGCACCACGAGAAAAAAAGCACTATGGACTACTACAAAAAACTGTACCAGAATGCAGAAAACAATCACAAAACACAATGCAGGTGTGTCTGTCATGTATCTCTTTATTTGGCTTGGGTGCACATGGGAAACACGTTCCAGTCACTCATACTCGGCCAGTACCGCTGTTCATCCAGCCCTTGCCACTATCGCGGCGCGGGCTGGATTCCGCGGTACTTCCCTTGTACTCGTGCAGGAACCTGTACTCCCCGATCGTAGCATCTTCTTGGTTTTTTGCAGAATGAAAAAGTCTTTCATTGTAGTTACCGTACACTGAAATGGCACCAAATGCCCGGAAATGCTTGCAATTGGCTTCAATTGTTGAAATTTTTCCCGGGGACGACCCGCGCACCCCCTTCTAAAAGTTCTATGGCCGCCCCACCTCCAAAGTCGGTGCGACGCGCCTGCTGCTACACTGTCCAAATCGATCAGCTTTGAGCTGTTGAGGATTCCAAATTGCAACATACTTTCACTGCTCCTTTATCAAGGTAATAGAGGCAAAACGGCAACGACATGAACTAAAAGTAATGTTACTGTTTGGAAATAATTCATCAAGGAGTTGTACAAAGAAAGAGAAGTCTGAAGGAACTAGTGTTATAGTACATGTACATTATTTTGTGTACGTCGTGTGTATGTGGTGTTGGTGCATGCACGTGTTGCTGTGGTGTGAAAAGCCGTCTTCATGTTGAGTTCGCCATGTCTAGTTATGTTTCCGTCGTCTTATCACAAATATATGTCTTTCAAATGTAGTTATCTTGTCGTCCATAGTCTGATTGTGGAGATGGCACGGGGCTGGGAGCAGGTTAAAAAGAAATCAGTTACAACACCAGCTGTCACCACAAGAACTCCAAACAGGAACCGTTGCAATACACTTGTGGTACTCCAACACAAGCCTATGCTATAGGTTTGGCGTATCCCAGTAGGGACCATTGAATTTGTCATTACATTCTAAGAGTTACGTATGGGTGCCCGGTATGAATGGTTTGCGTACCTGATCTCCCCATTCATTGATGATGGGCATGTTGATATCGTCAACGAACACGGTCATCTTCTTTCCAGCCGGTGGGCCATAAGTACTGCCCACCCTCTTGTCAACGTAGCTCTCTATGGTTCTCTGAATACACCAAACAGACACACAGACACACACATAATATAGACATGCACACAGACACACAGACCCACGGGCACACACACACAGGCACACAGGCACACATGGACACACATACACACACAGGCACACATGCACACACATACACACACACATGCACACATGCACACACATACACACACACATGCACACATGGACACACATGTGCATACATACACGCACACACGCACACACACATGGACACACACACAAACACTGTTTAAGTACGGGAGAAACAGTACTCATAACCTCAGACAAGAACATACGCTAGAACAAACGAAACATGTACTGCACACTCGTAGTAATCCATTCTCGACACATCATCAGTGGTCGCTCATCCATGTCAACCATGTACAATACCTCTGGGTCTGCTGGGCATGCCAAAGTAAAATGACACAAACTATGAGTACCATGTTTTTCGGAGTATAAGCCGTACTTTAGACACTCTTAACCCTTTACCAAAAATGTCAGTCAGTGCGGCGTATACTACTACGGTGGTCAAATGAATATTGATAATAATACAGGGTAGATGTCTGTATTCCGTGACACAACATCTGTTTGCGACTTGTACTTCAGTGTGGTTTACACTAGTAATAAGGATAGTACGGTACATGTACTCGCACCCAGTCTTGCTCTAGCTCCGAGCTAGCTGAACAGAAATGCATGGTAAAACAGTGTTTTACCTGATGCGCATAGCTAGTGAGTTGGGGACAGGGTAAGGAACTGGAGCATCTTGTCATTTTGTGCCTGTTCACACAGCCAATTCAATCCCTACAGTCTGCAGGGATGGATCTTGAGTGTGCCTGAACACTGATCTTACCTGGAACATGTTGGGTGTGGAGGCTGAGGAGAAGTTGAAGCTCTTGCTGAGATGCTCTTCAGGGTTCGACTTTCCCATGAAGCCCTTGATAATGACTGTCTTAGCCGTACCTTGCTCACCGATCAACAGCACTCCCTACAAACACACATACCCACACGTACAAGCACACACACACACACGCGCACACGCACACGCACACACACACACACACACACACGCACATGCATGTGCACACACACACACACACACACACATACAATAAGACACAAAATGGCATACGCACACAAGCATGTGGTACCCAAGGTCAGCTGGGCAGTCACAGGATACTCAACACGGAGAACAGACTAGATTACATTCAAGCACTGGCATAACTCATGAACAGGCACATAGCAGTGCATCTTAGACTGGCATGTCATGTGATTTATATGTAGGACTCAGTATAGAGTCCATGCACTATATGATGTCCAGCACCCTATATAGAGTCCATTGGTCCAAAATCCACTATACAGAGTCCAGGAGTCCACTCAGTTTTGATCAGCTTCATCCTGCCGCGCAATCCCCTATAAGGAGTACACTTTTTCTACAAGTCCCCTATTCACGGTCCAGGAGTCCAGTTTATCCAATCACGCCGGCCGTCCTGTGTGTTGTGCCCGAAAGAGAAAACACCTTTTCAGTTTTGCTTGCCTCATGGCAGCGCATTCCTTTCTTCACTTCAGCCATGGCTGCCAGTTCTGCTGTGCAGTTGCTGACAGTAATCTGTCTCGAGGTAACCAAGGAGGATAAGGAGACGTTCAAAATCAAATCTGGAATGCGTCTTGTGGTTCTCTGAAGACGCTTCATCCGTGCGCGGGATGAAAGCAGAAATTGCAGAACGAGAAAAGTTCAGCACAGTTCAAATCTGACGAGTCAGAGGTACACTGACACTCTCTTTCGTTCGACGCCACAAGGATCCCCTGTTTGGCTGGCCATTAATTGCATTGCTGCCAGGAAGGCGTTTGAACGGTTTCATCAGAGCGAGGGATGAAAGCAGAAAGCGGAGAACGAGAAAAGTTCAGCACAGTTCCAATCTGACGAGTCAGATACACTGACACTCTCTTTCGTTCGACGCCACAAGGATACCCTGTTTGACTGGACAAGAGCTGCCTGTACCACCGTGTCAAAAGGCTGTCCAACTACATGGCAGGACGATGACTGAGGTAAGGAAGCTTTTACTCGTTTCGACTGGTCTGCTGTTCTGTCGTTATGCTTGAATTTTTTTCCATTTTCAAGGATCGTATCGCGTTTGTTTGATGTTGCTTGAATGAATGCCCTAAAAAGTAATCAACCACTTCGTAATAGTCCTCAAGGACTGCAAGGACTTTGCATCAATCGTATACGATCGTCTAGCTATCATCAATATTATTATTATTTTATTTCATGAGAAAAGTATTTTATCCCTGTGATAATATTGTGAACTCCACGACACTCTTCCTCTTCTAGGCTCTAGTATGATGTCAAATACAATGGGATCCACAAACGCAGTGCCAGTGTACTAGTAGTAGTAGTAGGAGGATTTCTTGTATGCCGATGACAAGAAAAAGCTTCAAGCTAAGACATGTACTCGTATTCCCAGAAGTAACCGTCTTGATGTCACAAACATGACATTGTGTCAGTGAAACTGCCTCGTGACAACAAATCATTGCATTTCCATCTTGGAGAAGACTGACTGACTGCAACGCTGTACAGATTGTTTAAATCATCTCATTTCAATTTAGTTGCAGTGAAGTGAAACACTGTACACTACATGTATGGTGGTGTGTCTGTGCGTCTTGAGTGTGCACAAACGATCTTATTCCTCGTATTACTAATAGATTATTGTCCCCACCGTCACCTGTTTACAGGTCTTTGTGTGGATGGATTTTCATTGAGCATCACATTCGTTGAGCACTTGGTAGTTGTGTGCTCCCATGCATCATTACGGTAATAAGCGTGTATCCTTGTGCTATCTACTTTTTGCAGGTGTGCTGATCTTCAGAAGCTTGCGGAACTGAGTGCTGCTGAACATTTGCATGGCCATGAGCAATGGTAAAGCTTGCTATTGCACTCTCAGCATGTGCTAGTATTATGCTGACTACTACACTATGTTACTCTCTTACACTAATAGGTGCGTGCACCTGTCCATGTATGCATTCGTTTCGTATAATTATTTGTTATCCCTCTTGACTTTACGTGTCAATGGGTGGACGTTTGCATGGCTGTTGGAGTTGCGTGTGTATTGTGTCTCTACTCTTTTCTTGGTGTTTTCTTGGCGTTGTATAAGTTTGTGTGTGTGTGTGTGTGTGTGTGTGTGTGTGTGTGTGTGTGTGTGTGTGTGTGTGTGTGTGTGTGTGTGTGTGTGTGTGTGTGTGCGCGCGCGCACAATAATTTGAAAACAAATAATTAATCCTTGGCTCTCCATTATTCTCTTTCGATTCTTGGTTGTTTCTAGGTATTTTCTTGGCGGTGTGTGGGTGTGTGCATGTGTGTGTGTGTGTGCGTGCACAATATTTGGCAACACTACATGATTGAGATATTGTAATTTGCAGCGTCTGCGAAGAGACCACTTGATTTGAGGATGGTGTTTGTAGGGTTTTCGTGTAATGAAGTGGCTGCAGTGGCGCCTCAATACTTATTTTTTATCTTGAGAAGTGAATGATGTAAAGGATTAAAGGGAGAGGCGTTTTCTGGTTAATATTCACTGCTTACAGCAGATCCTATGTCTAATTTCGAACTCTGGATAGGGGATGCCTAGTTGGCTGGACTTTATACAGGGAGTGTTGTCCACATAAAGACTCCTTATACATGTAGTTGATTTCAAAGTTTGGACTCCATACAGTTGATTTTGGACAAATGGACTCTATATAGGGGTGAAGCCAATTGGCTGGACTCTATACAGGGAGTGATGTCCATCTAAACTTTGAGCTCACAGTTGATTCCAAGTTTGGACTCTGTACAGTGGATTTTGGACCAATGGACTCTATATAGGGGTTGGACATCATATAGGGGCTGGACGCTCTACTGAGTCCAACATATAACGCATGGGTCATATGACAAGAACCACACACCGAAATTCAACTGTTCAAGCCACTGAAGTCACTCAATGGTCGACCGTAACGCAGCACTATGCTTACCAAGTCTTGTTTGGATATGCACTGGATGATGTAGTCCGTTCGCACATTGTCAACGTTGGGTACCAAGATAGAGGAGTACTCGGGTACTTCATCATGCGGATAGTTATACTCGGGCACTCTGTCCATCCAATGCTGCCACTCGCCTATATGTGTTTGTGTGTGTGTGTGTGTGTGTGTGTGTGTGTGTGTGTGTGTGTGTGTGTGTGTGTGCGTGTGCGTTTGCGTTTGCGTGTGTGTGTGTGTGTGTGTGTGTGTGTGTGTGTGTGTGTGTGTGTGTGTGTGTGTGTGGATGTGTGTGGATGGCAGAGAACAGAAACAGATACTAATGAACCAGCATTCCATGACCGGGGAACTGGGAGTTGGCGGGGGAGAACAAAAAATTATCCAAAGTCACGGGTGACTGAACCGGACTTTAAACAGCCCCCAAAGTGTTACATGAGTGCATACACAAGCACACAGGCATGCACTATCCTTAAATGGGTGCGTACGCCTGGTTCCAGCATTTCCACTACTTGGACCTTACATACCACAAGCACTGCTTGGGCGGCAAGATCGTGCTCTGCCCACCTCGTCACAGTCCATTGTATCAAGTCACTTACCAGTTTCATTGTTCACAACAAACTCAAAGATGGTGTTCCCGGAACCGGGCTCAATTTTTGGCAAGTTCAGCTTCGTCTTCTCCTTCAGGAATGTCTCCATCTTGGAGCGGTCACCCAGCTCAAGCAGAGCGCCAATACTCCACATCACACCGAAGATGTAGTAGCGCTCCAGCACTGCTTTGTCGGGCATGGACATGTCTTCCTTCTCTTTCTTCGGCAAGCTGCCTTCCAACATCTTGACAGCCTACAGTGACAAAGGGGCAGGGAGCAGGGGGTGAATTGTATAAGGCAGTGTAGTGTACCGTAAAGTCGCGGATAAAAGCCGGGTTTGCATACAAGCACATCGTGGATAGAAGCCTGAAAATCAAACGGATCAATGCATATAAGCCTGTCGCGCGTAGAAGCCTGGCTTCTATGCAAGCGCGGATCGGGTAGGTCAAGAGTGCATGCGCTATGTACAGTGCATAGTAAAACTGCCGCCATACCAGTAGTCAGTGGTAAATCTACGCGTGTCGCGCGTAGAAGCCTGGCTTCTATGCAATCCCGGATCGGCCGATGTGCATACAAGCCTGGCAAAAATATCAGTGGTGCATATAAGCATGGTTTGCATACAAGCCTGGTTTGCATTGAAGCCTGATGCAGAAAGCGGTTTATGTGCTTATAAGCCCGGCTTTTATCCGCGACTTTACGGTATAGCCAGCAAACAAAGAGTAAAGTCTCGGCATGTACTGCCGCAGGAAAACCTAACACCACACATTACTACTGGTACAGTACTGACGGGCGCTGAAGAACAGAGCGCTGAGTAACGACCAGGCTAGAATGTTATCAAGCACAGCATACCAATGTATACACGGTGACTCAACTGCCCATAGACTGTAATACATGAAAACAAGAATGGTCTAGGCTAGGAGGCTGACCCCCCAGTTCTTTTGCGGCCGACAGTACTGTACTGTGGTACATTTGTGTGTATGGCATGCAGCAGCAACAACAAGTCAAGATATTATCAGTAAGTCCATTTCTGTGCAGATGCACTGTGCCTTACAGTAATAATAATATCTACTTGCTCCATACATCACGGCATATGCATACTGAGAAGAAGGTCACACATGTACAACACATGCAAGCAAAAGTGCAGTACCTGGGAGATGTAATTGCACTCCAGAATTTCCATCTTGGGGAAGAGCATGGTGGAGCTGTAGTTATAGACCTCCTGGAAGCTGGCATGGAACAGTTCACGAATGACCTCCGCCTCCGACGACTGGCGCGTCATCAGCCATCCCTGGCGACCGACAAGAATAGAAGGACAACAACACCTCAGTTGCTTGCACAGGTGGACGGGACACCACCTCTGTTACTTGTTGGCAAGGAAAATACTCAAAACCTAGAGCGGCAGCCATCTTTCTACGGCACGTATCTGCATAGTGAGTCAGTGTCTACGGGGTGTAGAATGGTGTGGAAACGCACAGCAACCTAGTCACAAGCTACACAATGCAGCTATGCAAGTAAAGATCATTACGATCTAGAATTGATTTACATTCAATGCTTTGAATTTGACTTCTGTAAGGTTTGATGTAGGAAAAACACTATCGTGATGTCGTGGACATGGAAATCCGGTCGGAGGGCAAGCAGCCCAGGGCAGTGGTCATACAGCCGTGAGTATGCATACGAACAACACGTGCACTGCATGCAAAGTTATGCATGCACTGAGGGCGCACGCGGGCCATGCATCATTCGACCGGATTTCCATGTCACGACAGTATATAGAATAGAAATTGCAATTAGCCCCAGCCAGACATCCTTACATCAAGGATCGGCCTCCAGTCCAAAGCCGACGAGCTCATGAAGACCATGCCGTTTCGTGACACAGTGGCCGGAGAGGCGTTGTCGATGTTGTGCGGTTCAAACACAATCTTACACCAGGGTGCCATTGGAATACGGTCACCATTCGCCAGTGTCAATGTCTTGTTGTCGTCCAGTACACTGTTCAAGTTTTCAATCCAGATAGCATCCACCGGTCCATCCAACACCAGCCAGATATGTTCACCTGCAGAGTAAATAGATGTGTTGCATAACGATGTAAGAAAAGTCATCAACAGCACCAGCTGAACATCGACATATTAGAGAGATACTTCGCTTTCCCCTCCTGCAGGGAGGTTACATTCATTACGGATGATGGTGTGCTGTCATGATGATGTGTTGTCATGATGATGTGTTGTCATGGGTGATATGGTATTTTAGTTTAGTTGCAGTACCATTTCAAGCAATCTGGATATACATGTACGTGACAGATTCTAACCTTTCTTGGCTTTGTGTGTTCGCCTCCACAGCGTTGAGAAGATGCCGTCAGTCCAATCGTTGGTGGCGACGTCGAGACGTCCGAACATCTGCGGCGCCGTGATGGCCTTTGGATTCATTCTCATCTCACGATGTGGCTCTCCACAGTCGGTCATGGCCTTCATCAACATGTGAATGCACTTTGTTTTGCCTGCGCCGCTGGGACCCAGGGCCATCATGCCATGGCGTACACGTTGGGTTTCAAACAGCTAGAGATGTCAAGAATAAAGACATAAAAACCCATAAACGGGGTCACCAAACAAAATTTCATATTCTTGTCGATGGTTGTTACTGATGACCGTAGTCTTGTGACTGTTCTGTACACATGCAATGGAACTATGCGTACAGAGATAATCACGCTCTAGGAATCTCACCTGAATGAGCTTGAGAACCCACGGCGGATGGTTGACCAGACCCGCTTTCTCGACATTCTCTGCGATAGCGCCTTCCAGGTCCGGGTAGCCAGCCTTGTCCAAGACAATGCCAGGGAACAGATCGTTGATCAAGCTCAAGAACAACGGTTCATCCTCGTCCACCTATAGGCAGCACACAGTACGCAGCACACGCCATAGCGACACGCCTCAGTGGTTGCAACACACAATATACAGTCATTGCTATCCATCTGATTCTGTAGGCAATAATTACGATTCTGCCTAAAGCAGCCATGGTCTGAGGATTGGCACAAGAAACTGTAAAAGCAGTGTGCATGCATGAAGTTGGAAGTACATTTACTGGCTTTTCAGGATGTTCCAAGTTCTTATTCCAGTGACTTGACTTGATACTTGACGGAATAGTGTGAGCTCCAGTGTGGGGAGCAAACCCTTTTCACACAAATCATCGCCGAAGTCGCAACCACTATTTCGTACTTATTCCATGGATTCTATTCATCCCTTACCAGTTTGGATAGGTTCATCCCTTACCAGTTTGGATAGGTTCTATTCAACCCTTACCAGTTTGGATAGGTTCTATTCATCCCTTACCAGGTTTGGATAGGTTCATCCCTTACCAGTTTAGATAGGTTCTATTCATCCCTTACCAGTTTGGATAGGTTCTATTCATCCCTTACCAGTTTGGATAGGTTCATGTCACGCAAGACTCTCATCACTGTTGTGCTCTCGCTGTCCGTAGGGTTCTTGCGCTTCACCGTTCCCAGCGTTCGCAGCACGGAGAGGATGTTGCGCAGTCCAAAGTCGTAGTGCACTTGCTTGGAGAGCTGCTCTTCGCACAGCTTGTAGAGTGTGTAGAACTTTCTCGACAGGTTGATGTTCTCCAGGAAACCAGCACTGGCAAGTTTGACACGGATGATAATCTGGCAACACATGGAAACCGAGAGCAAAGCAGTCACAGTGAATTCACTTTGACAAGAGATTTGACCTGGACCATTCTCTACATCCTGATCACTGAGGTAGTTGTGTCACTAAGAAGTAAGAGATTGTCGGCCTGGTGTTGGTTAGACTCTCTAATGTGCGCAACAGGCATCTGCAGCAGGGCTGTAGCATCACCATATCAGGTGATCCGGCCAAAATGAGATTCTCCATTGGAAATTATTGACGAAAAACCCAATTTGCTCGAATCGGGTGGGTCAACGTTTTAGAAGTATGGTCCAGCAATGGCCGGACGGGCCGCACCGGGTGCCACGGCCCGTCACACACAGTCTTTATGTCTACTGCTGCAGCCAGTAAAGCATCAATGCCTCACGTCTACCTGATCTAGTCAGTATAGAACATTACATTGACCTTATACATGACATCATTGTGATGTCATGATAACGTCATGTAGATCTCCTTGCTGCTCATTTACCTGACGATCGGGCACCATCATGGCAACGGTTCTGAAGTTGATCTTGAGGTTTTCTGGCAACTCCTGACGACCAGCGTAGCCAGGGTTCTGCACAGTACCATCACCGTGGGCGGGCAACACAGAGACACAGGATTGAATGATGAGTTGATTATCCCAAATCACAAATGTCAGCACACCGGAACTGACCAATACTGGAATGTCACATGTGTTAATTTCATGAATGAGCCAAAATCTACACTTCTTGAGAAGAGATAATATCACTTCCCATAATTATTATACAGTGTATTGGCATATACTGCATATGCCATGACATCACCACAAAGAGTTTCTTTGTGATGGTCTCATGGCATAGGCATATACCTTGGAGACAATGACATCATTCAGATTATACAGTTCAAGGAATTGCAGTGAATACAATGAGAGAACCATGTCTGCAAACTCTACTGCTCCCAGCCTTTCAAGCATCAAACCAGTGCAGCACCTACCATTGTCAAGAAGAGGCCAAACTCCGGACTCAACGACACCACGTCACCGTCAGTGAAGATGAAGTGGGACTTCCTCTCCTTCTTGCACTGCAACACAATTGCAATCTGCTGTGCGGCCACGGACAACACCGGCAGTTCAATACGGTTGAACTCATCAAAACAGCCCCAGCTGCCCGACTGAGCTAGACCTGTACAGGACAAGAGAAGATAGCACAGTGTTGCTCAGAGATGTGTCGCAATGGCAAGGTGATGCCAGCACACAAGGAAAGAACGAGGCTATGCCTTGCATCTTGCACCTTGTACGTTCCTCCTCACATACACGGACAACCCAAGCACAGTATACACAGCCAGGCATGCACATTATGCATACACGATTGTCCAAAACCAAACAAACATCACACAAATTGCGTAGCATCAACTCTACTGACTATAAGGAGCACCATACATGTGCCCTTGTCCATATAAAGAGCACAGTCTGGCTTTGGAAATTTTAATTTTTCATTGCTATCAAGTTCGACCCCATTTTCTCTATGCTACGCTGTCGAGTCCACAAAATGCGAAACAGTTTTGTCCCCAGATTGAGTAAACATCACAGTACAAATAAGGTGCCGTACTTCCCCGATTGTAAGTCACACTCCTATGTCCAGGTCTATGTCATATTGTTTCGATATATTCACTTCAGTAGTAATCATGCTTGATTGTAAGTCTCATCCCCTTTGTTGACTCTGAAGTTTAGTGTTAAAGGGTGCGACTTATATTCAGGGAAATACGGTACATGTACAGTGTTAGTAATCAGCTGGATTACAGCTTACCTTTGTAGATACGTCCCAGTCCTCTGAAGTCCATCTGATCGGAACAGTTGAAGACGACAACGTACTTGCCCAGTGCCTTGCCCATGTCCTTGGTCGTCTCCGTTTTACCGGTTCCAGCAGGTCCGGCCGGGGCACCACCCAGTGCCATGCCAAGCGCCTGTGCTAGGGTGATGTAGCAGCGATCAGTCAGCGGTGTGATCACCAGACGATCCGTGCAGCCCAAGAACTCGTTCTGGTACTCGAAGTTGACATCCGTAATGCTGATCAGTGTCTTGTCCGTGTCGTCGTTGAAGTAGAACCGTGTCTGCTTCAGCCACTCAAAGTCGCTCGGCGTCTTCACATGCATCTTCACCTGTGCAGTGCATAACACAAATCCACAGAGCAACGCAGAGTCATTATTATTGAGTTGGCTGTATTTCACTCACGTTGTCATGACGTGGGTTAAGAACCCCATCACCGGGCCAAAAGAGACCAAGGGCAAAGAGTTTGAGGCAAAAAAAGAAGAACATACATGGCCAACGCAATGAAGACCGAAGCGGATTAATAATAATTGTTAGTATTATCTTGCAATGGGTTTGCTCCCACACTGGAGCTCGCGCTATTCCGCCGACGACTTGACACTTGACTGACTCACGACCGCCATCCAGAGAACACGATTATTATTATCATTACTATTATGATGTATTCGTGACATGGGAGTTAGTACAGGAAAAAGCACATATGTACAGTAATGTCGCTTGTACCAGCAGGTGCTTAAGGTCGTATAACGTTAATATATCAATATCCAGTATCACCTTCTCTTAAGAGCCTTTGATAGGCGAAACAGCTGTCAGGAGGAAAAGTTTTACCCATGACCCCTTCATTGTTTGAGATTATTTGTGTGAGAAATGGCCACCGAGGGTAGCAATGGTCGGCTTTAGAGCGCATGGAGGAGGAGAGTTATATGTATTTTAAAGGAAACAGCTGAATGGTAACGTTCACAGTTTTACTAATATGAGATGTTCTGGCAGAACAATTCAGATCAACTCAGCACTTCTAGCACAGTACACTTTGATCAACACCCAAATACTATTTATCTCCCTCCATCTGTCTCGGTCTGTCTCTCTCATACATATCACGATGTAGAAATTTGGAGTGTGATTCGAGAGTTATCTCTACTTACAATGTCATCGAAGATATCACGTTGATGAACGTGGATGGTGATCAAGGTCTCGTACTTCACACGCTGGATCTTGGTCAGATTCTGCAGTGTCTTGTCAATCAGTCGGTTCAACATCTCCAAGAACGCCTGGTTCGTTGCCGCCATGATCTTCTTGTCAGCACGTGCATTCGTGAGCGCAAACTGAGCGTCTCGAGTCCAGAGAAACTGGATGCCGAGAATGCCAACCTGTAGTGAACGAAACATTCCACACAGAACATGAAACACAGGTTAGTTGATCCAGTCCTGGCTGTTCATGCATGGCGGGTGCCAATCAAAAGCCAGGATAGTATGATGTTGAGATGATGCATTGATGCTAGCACCTCTGATCCATGTCCAGTACAACCTGTCAAGGCGACCACTTAGATAAGGCGACCACCTGCCCTAGAAGACCATTGAAACCAGGACCAAGGGATGTTATTTCCAGTCAAATGACCCTGGATAAGGAGACCACCTGGTAACAGAGACCACGTTTTGAAGGTCCCATGAGCAGTCGTCTTACACAGGTTCCACTGTAATCATAAACCACACAAGTTAGCAAAGGAGAGCCTCTTGTCTACTAAACATACACACACACACTAGATATTAGCAGTTACCAGAACATGGCAATATTTCAATTACGCACGTGTACAGATTTTTGTACATGAAGCAATAACATTACTATGACTTGACCATGCATGAGTTCTGTACATGCATGAGTACTGTACATGCATGAGTACTGTACATGCAATGGAGGATTACCTGTGCTGGGAAGTTCTCAAGAAATTCCATCATCTCGTAGCTGGGATCGTTGATAGCATGCGAGGCCTGCCTGATCACACTGTGCACAGAGGCCTTAGAGATGTCGAGCAGCTGGCCAAGCCATATCTCCACGTTACCTTGCGCCATGACCGTCTTCTCAAGCTGTGTGCAAAAAAGGGAAGTCAAAAACCGACAAGTTCAGTTGGGAGCTACCGGTATGGCATACCATGCCAGGTTTATCAACTGGTTCATCTCATATATGTGTTGTAGTACGCTATTTTGTGTACGTCGTGTGTACGTCGTGTTTGTGCATGCGCGTGTTGCTGTGGTGTGAAAAGCAGTCTTTGTCTTGAGTTCGTCATGTCTAGTTGTGTTTCCGTAGTCGTCTTGTAGTAAACAGTCTTTCTAAATGTAGTTATCGTCGTCCAATTGTACAAGTGTGGAGATGGCACGGGGCTGGGAGCAGTTGGAGAAAAGCTATCTACAACATATGCGCTACGTAGGCCAGATGCCTTGCTGATGATGACTTATTCCAGTCATGAAATCCAGGGGAATGTTTACGAGTATTCTGCAATGCACAGGTGGTAGGTTTTCAAAGGAGAAGGTATGTATATACAGTCAACTTCGCTTTTAACGGCACTCGACGGGGTATCAGAAATGTGTCCTTATTCGCGAAGTGTCGTTATACCCGAAGTCTCATTACCGTGTTTTCCCCAATAAATG